ACAGACCAGTGCCAGAGCCTTGGTTCCTGTGCTGGAGGCTCCATCAATTCCCAAACGGGAAAACAAATAGAGCAAAGGTGCAAACGTCTCTTGAACCTTCCTAGTGAGACCAAAGAAACAGGGCAGCCTGGAGCCAGTAGCAGAAACGCTCTGCCCAGACTTCTCCCATTCACTGTTCTGTACTGTGTGCCTGCCTCGGGGCCGCCCTGGGTCAGCAGGACAGGTGCGGTCCTAGCAGCTCACAAGCCGGCAGTTCCTACATGCCTGAGGGTCGCAGCCCACACCCACCGTGACAGCTGTTTGCAGCAGCTAGGGGGAGGCAGGTAGGGAGTGGGGCCACTGCAACCTTAGGGGGACGTGTCATGGGGCAAAGCCCACAGGTGATTCTTCCCCTGGCCTTGTCACTGTCACACTGCTCAGGAGCAAAATGCCCTGAGCTCTGGTCACCTGCCATGTGGCTGGGAGAAACTGGTTCACCTGCTTTGCCCTCAAAGCCCAGTCAACACAGAGTTGGGACAAGGCAATGCCATCTTAAACACGAGCCAGACACACGCAAACAAGGATCGTTTTCCTCCCACAAAACATCTCTGCTAACACACCTGGCAGGAGGCCCCAGCTCTCTCTACCGAACCAGAACCAGGCACATGCACCACAGTCTTTTTGGGAACCCCGAGCTTTGAGGTTCACTGGGTGATATAAATCCTGCAGATCAGGAACCCCGTTCTTAAGGAAAGGTGGGTCTCCTTCAGTCTCATTACCCAGATAAGACATCTGTGAGATGATATCACCCCTCCTCTCAGTTGTATTTAACTTCAAATTATGGGATTATTGCAGAAGAGAAATACATTTGCTGCACATGCATTCAGGATTCACAAGAAAAAGATTGTGGCCCAAAGATAGGGCTGCTGTGGGTGGGGCCTCTGTGTAGAAATGAGGACCAAAACAATCGACTTGCAGTTAAATTGAAGGAATGACGCTTAGGGCATCAACTCCAGAGCCAGAGGCTTGGGCTAACTGCCATAAGGAAAAAGGACCTTCAGGAGGCCGTAACTGGAGAAGACAGCTTCAGAAACGAGGGTGAGGGGAGGTCTGGTGGCCTGCTTAGCTGTGACTTTCCTCTTCCAACTGTCCAGTTGTCACTTCAATTGTCACCACTGCCTGGAAAGTCCCAAAGCCTCTGCCTCTCCCGAGAGAAACCATCTGCTGCCTGTGCCCCTCGACAGCAACCCCCCCAACACCATTTCCCTCAAAGAGCCAAGGAAGGGGGCCTGCAAGAAGAAACAGACTTAAAGATGAGTCAGGATTGAGGACCAAGGAAGGACTATACCCAAAAGGCAAGGATAAGCGCAAATCCAGCCAGGAAAGCAATGAGCGACCCCACAGTGGATGAGGTGCATCTGGCGTCTGTACTGTGCCTGTAAACTTTAACACACAGAGTTTCTCACTATCTGTGGCAAAGGAGTAGCTAACGCACCACAAAACAGAGATCAAACTGGGGGGAAATGTACTGACAACACCCCTGGAACGCAACACAACCGATCTTGCCCAGGAAAAGCATTTTAGCTACAGAAATTGAAAAATGAAAGGGTGTCCAATGCCATCTGTTAAGTATGCACTTTGCTCCGATTCCAACACCGGAAAGTGTAAAGACCAATTTATTAGACTGTTGAAATCAGGATCAGGGTCACTCGGTGGGAAACCAGCATACACACCAAGGTGTGCAAGCAGGTGAGGACACAGGCTCAGGGTGCACCCATGTTATGGTGGTTTCTATAGGAGCCAATCCAGAAAGAGCATGGAAAAGACACAGCCACATCTCTATATGTGGTCAGGTGAGTCCATACAGATGATTCCTCATCTTGTACATCAACTCTAAACACCTGCTCAGACTCGCCGCCCAAGGCTCAGGCAGAGAAGGGCGTGCCGTTCAGACTGGATGATGAATTTGGGTTTTCTGTTCTTTCCTTCTGCTAGCTGTATGACTGAAGCTACCGCAGGCAGACGTCGAACTCAGTTGCAAGTGACCTGATTTCTCTCCTCTCTGAGGATGTCTTTATCAGTTCAGGAGATTGGAGTAAAGGACATGCTTCAGATCAGATGTCATCAGACAGCTCATCAAAGCAGATTTATTAGAGATGCCAGACCAGGTGCCCAACGGGTATGTGGGTGGTCGGTAGCATCAAAACCAACAGCACCGAATTGAATGGGAAAAGATTTCCTATATTATTGCTCCAATTTTTTTTTTTTTTTTTTTTGGAGCAGAAAGTATGTGCCTTCTTTTCTGTGCATTGGCCTCATCTATTGTATCTGTATTAGATTGTATTCATCAACCTAATGCAGCTACAATAGAACAGTGTACAATACAATGTACACCAATAAAACCACTGCTACACTCCACTCCACTCCACTGCTACAAATCCATCATGTTTAAAGCCATCCTCCCCAACTGTACCACTGTACGAAATTAATTCACTAATCTTACAGGAGAGGATTCAGGCCTGTAAATAACAAAATTGGGGACCCTCAGCCAGGTGTGAGGGACAAGTTAAAATCTTTACTCCAGATTTGTGTTGCCAGGCAACCTGATCACCTTGGTCCCTGGGCAGCCCACAGGGACTCAGCACCCCACAAATTTACAAAGATAAGAATGTAGGGCTTCCCTGGTGGTGCAGTGGTTGAGAGTCCGCCTGCCGATGCAGGGGACACAGGTTCGTGCCCTGGTCCGGGAAGAGCCACAGCAGAGTGGCTAGGCCCGTGAGCCATGGCCGCTGAGCCTGCGCGTCTGGAGCCTGTGCTCCGCAACGGGAGAGGCCGCAACAGTGCGAGGCCTGCGTACCGCAAAAAAAAAAAAAAAAAAAAAAAAAGTAAATATACCTAAATGGAGAATTCCACTTCTGCTTATGCTTAGCTTTCCATCAGATGGCCCACATACACATGGAAACAAAACCAAACGTTTTACCAATCTAGTTAAATGTGAAAAATCCAAATGAAGGTCATTAATAATAATTAAAAATTTATAGTACCAAGCACTTCAAATGTGCCAGGTACTAGGTATTTTAGATAATTGTTGCAATAGAACTTTGTGGTAGGTGGTATTACCCCCATTTCACAGATGCAGAAAACAAGGCACAGAGGTATTAAGTCAGTACTATGTACCAGGGTTGGTATTTGAACCCAGCAGTCTACATTTGGAGGCCATTTTTTAACCAGTGCACTGAGCTACCCAAAGCCCGAGGCAGGGAGACCAGCACATTTGTAGGTAGGGTTCTGCAAACCCAGTAGCTGTCTTCTCAGATGCCTTTACACTGAGGCCTAGGGAGCTCTTTACAGACTAAACTGAACTGATATTAGCAGCTAGTGGTGACATGGATTAGTCGCCACTCTCTTGCATGTTTATGAATCACTTGGCAGAGTGAACCATGTTATTTGTCTGCAAAAAGGGGGGCAGGGAGAGTGTGTGCATGTGAATCATAGGGTCCAGTTACAAGAGGGGAGGCACTGTGCTACAATGGTTTTCTGGAGCTGGAGCATCCTGGGCCCAAGGCCTCTATTAATCTCACTCCTGGATGTGTGAACTTGGGGAATCTACCTTAAGTGTCAGTGTTCCCACCTGTAAAATGGGGATAACCTCAGTACTGACTTTATGGGTTTGTTTAGTGGGTTCAGTGAATTCATGCATGATAATCAGAAGCTATTTACACAACAATTATCGTGTCTGGAGGATTAAAACATTCCACTGATAAGAACTTTCCTTAGTCATATTCTGAGACTGCTCACCATAAACACTCCACAAGCCAAGCGTACTCAGCAGAGAACGAGCCTCCGAATACCAACAATGAATAGCCATGAACAAGCTTCAGAGTTAATACTAAAATGCATTCCTAACCTTAATAATCCTTTCTTTGCAAAAGTTTTCCTGGTTCTTAAAAGTGTTTAATGTTTGCTAATCAATTAAACATTAATGTTTCTAATGAGGAACTTCTAAAACTAACACACAGATTTTTTAAAAGTTCTCTAATCAATCTCTGACAGATTTAGAATGGAATTCACGAAACTGGGCCTTTGCACCTGCCCTTTGATAATATGCTCCATCACATGGCCGTTTTTTGAGAACCATTTCCCTCTTCTTTCCAAATTAAAGAACTGGTGCCTGCAGGTGGTAAAGAAAGGTCGGTGGGACCAGTCACAGGGGCTGGCCAACCAACCCAGCTTCTCCTATGAACTTGAGGAGGCAGTAAAACAAACTTCACGGTAAGGAAAGTGAACGTATTATGTCGTTTTCTATTTCTGAAGAGAATCTGAACTAGATTGTGGCCAACATATGACAACAACTTCCGAGTGTGGGAATAACAGGATTTCAAGATTCACCACTTCTGGCAGCGTTTCTTGGGTTATATTTAGCAATCTTAAATTGCCTATTTTTTTCCTTTTTCTTTTCTTTCTTTCTTTTTTTTTTTTTTAAAGAAAAGAACAGGAGGAAGAGACCGGGCCTAAAGGAAGTGAGTTTCCTGACATGCGGCTCTTAAACAGCCAAACCACCCACCCTAAGGCCGGGAATGGTAAGCGCGCGCGCTGTGCGGGTGGAATGCACACTTTAGGGGGCTGTGTCGGCGAACGGCGGGCCCCTACAACTTCTCATTCGCGTGCTCTGACGACCAGCCAGACAAAGACCGCAAGTTCTCCGGCCCAAAGCTCCAGACAAGCAGACACCGAATCTTCCCGAAGTAGGCCCACTCCCGGCCCCAGGGGCCCGCATCCGCCGCGGAGAGGGGGCCCAGGGATCTCTCCGCGTGATCCGGCGTGCTCCTGCCCGCCCGGCTCCTGCTCCGGCCCTGCACCTCTCTGGGCTGCGGCCAGACCCCGGCCCCTCCCGGGCCCCGCGGCTGCAGGCCCACGCGCCCCACGCGCCCCCACCCCGTCCGGCGGAGGGGCTGTGCCCGGTCCCCCGCGGGCCCCTTAGAGCCCGCCCCCGCGGCCCCCGGCCTGTCCCAGATACCCACCCGGGTCCCGCACCGGGGGCCGGATTCGCGCCGGCTCCCCGAGCCGCCGCCGCCGCCACTGCCGCCGCCGCCTGTGAGGAGCGGTGGGGCGGGGACGGCGAGGCGAGGCCCGGCCCCCGGCACGCCCCCCGGGCCAACCCGGCCCCCGGCCCAATCAGGCCAGCCCCCCAACCCCCAGGTCCCAAACGGGCTCCAACCCGGCCGCTGAACTGCCTAAGTCACCTTCCGCCCTCCGACCCCAGGACTCGGCCCGGCCGTCCGCATCCCATTTCGGGCCTCGTTGCCCGCCCGGGACTCCGGCCCCAGGACTTTGCCCCGGAAGGAAGCCCCGAGCCCCCAGAGTGAAGGTAGAACCCCTAGGACGCTCCAGATGCGTGCTCGCCCTCTCTGTTCCACCCTCTGCGTTTGTTTTTCCTATTTTGAGGTAGGAAAAGAACACCACCCATCAGGAGACCACGGGGCATCCCTCTTCCGCCAAGAATTCTTCTTAGGAACCCCGGGAAAGGGGTGCTGAGCCCCCCAGGTCTGGAGATGGACAGGCGGGCACTAGGAGGGGTCTCGGCATCCGAAGGTGCAGCCGGCTACGGAGCCCCTCGTGCCCCTACCTCCGCCTGCCACCCTCAGGGCACTTAGCCGTCCCAGGTCCCCGGCTCCCCGAGTGCCCTGCTCGATCCCCCGGGGAGCCGGAGTTGCCCAGCTGGACGCACGTTGACATGTTTGTCGCTTTACAGAAACTGAGCCAGGAGGGGTAGAGCTCGGCCTTAGAGATAAAGATGGGGAAAATGCGTATTTATCCTTTAATATATTTACATAGTTAGATATTCTGTGTTTCCAATGCACATAAATGGCACAAAGGCCGTCCGCCCCGCACGCCCAGCGCGTGGTCCTCGCCAGCCGGATGTTGACGGCGTCGCGTAGCAACGGGAGATGGCGGAGCCTGGCGGCCGGACTGGCGGGTAAGCGGGCCTAGGGACCTTGGGTTTCGCAGCGGCCCCCACGCCTCCGCCTTTCTATATCCCCCTAGGCGCCCCTTCCCTTCCATGTCCCTTTCCCCTCTCCTCTGCCCCTGCCATCCCCACCCTTTGGGCCTTTCCTGCCCTCCCCGGCCACCCCCACATTCCGGCGCGCCCTTCTCCCTTCTCACCTCGCGTCCCTTTGTCCTCTCCCGTACCCTCCCCTTTTCCCCTCGCTCCGGGCGCTCCACTCGCTGACACCCGGGACTTCCTTGTCCCACAGTAACCATGACAACCACTGTGCTTGGTAGTCCCTGCTGCAGAGCCCCGAGAGCAGGGGTCTCTGTACTGGATGCTGCCCCAGCGAGGTGCTGTGACAGAGAGCATCAGCCCAGCCCCCCGCCTCCCTCCCCCTCACCAGGGTTGGAGGTGGCAGGCGATGGGCCGGGGTCCCTATGGTCAGGCAGCCCCACCGTGAATGCCTTGAGCACACAGATAGACCGTAGTAAGGTAAAAATGCCAGGCCTCTGTTCTCTTATGCTTTGTTTAAAAGGATAGAAACTATTTTAAAGAATTTAACCTTTTACATTAGACACTGCTGTATTGTTTCTTTTTTTTCTTTTCTTTTTTTTTAAGGTAGGTCTACATGTACTGACATGGAAAGAAGTCTAGATTACAACAAATGAAAAGACTAAATGCAAAACAGTATATATAGTGTGATCTCTAATTTGGGTGGGTGGGTAGCTTTAAATGCATAGAAAAATATTTGAAAGAAGATACCCTTAAATCTCTTACTTTTACCACTGGTTATCTTGAGAAGGAGAGGAGAAGTCACAGGGGATTTTCATTGTCTGTCACATATTTCTGTATTAGTTTTACTTTTTAAAAAAATATAGTTTTTTCTAATTAGAAAAAAAAACAATTTTAAAATGTGACATTCTTGTACTCTCTACATCATGGGGAAATTGGCACTTCCCTGGTGGTCCAGTGGTTAAGGCTCTGCACTTCCACTGCAGGGGGCACGGGTTTGATCCCTGGTTGGGGAACTATTATAAAATCCCACGTGCTCTGAGGCATGGCCAAAACAAAAAACAAACAAAAAAAATTCACAGGGAAACTAACCAAGAGTTTCTAGGGTATTTGTCCTTTTTGTACAATTTTCTCTTATTTTGCGTTTATTTTCCCCAGTTTTGTCACAGACAGAGGTATATTTAAGGTGACTTTTCTAGAGTAATCTACCTGTTCCTTTAATGTTTTGATAATTGCATTTTTCATTCATTCTTGGCATGACTCTTTTGTGCCACTAGTGCTGGTGTTAGTGACAAAGTCATGGCCATCAGCCTAGAGGGAAGGCAGATAATTAACGAGTAAATAAGTAGATATACAGACATCAAGGAGGTGATAAATGCCAAGAAAAAGAAAGATGTTATTTGAAACTGTTAAATTGTTTCTCTGCCACCAGGTCTCACCTGGAGGGCAAATCTTCTGAAGGAGAAGAGGACCAGAATCATGAAGGCAACAGGGTAAAGTTCCTTATGGGATGAATTATTCTGGGCTGTATTTACTAAGAATTAAAGAGAGTTCAGACTTTCTCAAGAAAATTGTACGATGATCCTATGACCTTACTGTAGAACAGACTCAAGTCATTTGCAGAGAAGCTCAATTTCCTTCCACCCCATTCTGAAGTGTTGGTGGCTCTTCAGGAATGCCTCGGATATCCTACAGTTAGATTGCCCTGAGTTTTCCAGAGGTCATTTCCTGTAAAGAAGGATGCAAAATAATTACCAAAAACAGAGAGCAGATAAATTAAAGCATGAAACATAATCTCCTAGCGATGCTCAGAGTGTGTAGCTGCAGTTTTCCCATCGGTGTAATTACCTTATTAAGAATAAAACCTCACAAGACCCTTTATACTTTGTATCCTGATTTTTTTCCTGCTACATGGCTACAGGTGTCACCGATAGAGAAGAGCAGTGACCAGAGAAATGAAGAAACTGAGGGTGCTACAGAGCATTCTGAAGGGGAAATCAAAAACGATGGGGAAGTCTCAGCCCAGGGGAAAGATGAAGACGATGAGGAAGTCGAAATCCAAGGGGAAATGGAAACGGAAGAGGAATTCGAATTTGAAGAGGAGTTAGAATCTGATATTGAAGCCACGGCCCCTGAAGGGGAAGTCACTTCTCCAGATCTGGCTTACTCAGACATCAGTCCTGGGGAGGTGGCCAGAGATGAAGTTGGCCCCACACACCGGCATGAAAGAGCAAGGAGGAAGACAGGTCTTGAAGACAGAGAGGCCCCCGGCCCATCCGAATCCAGAGGAGTGGGGGTCATCTCCACAGAGCCCTCCCAGCAAGTATCAGGCTCATCTGAGCAAACGGACCAGGAATCGGTGAGTAGCCTGAGGTCTGTTTTACACAAGTGTTTTACTGCTCAAGTTGTTTGTACTCCTATGTGAGGAACTCAGGGTACACTATAAATAATTCACATTGCAATCCCTGTTAGAAATGGCTTAGTAAACTTAGGTCTCAGGATCTACCATCAAATGCCAAGAGTTTCTGGACCCTCCCTTGCTGTTCCCAAACCCAAGTTGGGAACATTCCATGCAAGGGCATCTAGGTGTCCAGTCTCTAGAGCAGCACTGTCCAGTAAAATTCTGCATGATGATGGAAATGCTCTTTATCTGCTCTGTCCAATATGGTACCCATTACTCACTTGTGGCTATAGTGCACTTGAAATGTGGCCAGGGACATGGAGGAACTGAATTTTTAATTTTTTGAAGATTCTAATTAATTTAAATTTATATAACCAATTGTTACAAGTGGCTACCATACTGGACAGTGCAGTTCTAGATAATGACAATAGTTACATTCTTATCATTTTCATTTTTAAATTTTTTTTAAAGATTTTTTGTGTGTACCATTTTTAAAGTCTTTATTGAATTTGTTTTGGGGTTTTTTTGGCCAAGAGGCATGTGGGATCCCAGCTCCCTGACGAGGGATCGAACTCGCACCCCCTACATTGGAAAGCGAAGTCTTGACCACTGGACCGCCAGGGATGTCCCCTCATTTTTTAATTTTTAAGCAAGCACAGACTTACAGAAAAATTGGAGTACCATAGAACTTTTAATTTTTTTAAGCATTTGAGAGTAAGCTGTCGATCTGATACCCCATTGCCTCCTAATGCTTCCATGTATGTTTCCCACAAACAACAATATAATGACTATCAAAATCAAGAAATTATATTACATTACCCAATCATCCTCAGGCCTCCTTCACCAAATGTCCCAGTAATGTCTTTTATAGCAGAGCTCCAGTACGGAGTTGCCTGTTGCCTTCAGCTGCCCAGTTTCTTTAGTCTTCTCAATCTGTCCTTGACCTTGATGACCTTGACACTTTTAAAGGTCACAGGCCAGCTATTTAGTAGAATGTCCCTCAGTTTGGCTTTGCCTGGTATTTCCAGGTTTCCAGGTATGGTTTATGATCCTTCGGCAGGAATGTCATAGAAGGATGCTGTGTTCTCCTGATGTCCTGTCAGGGGATGCATCATTTCAGCTTGTCCATTATTGATGATGTTGGCTTGGATCACTTGATGAAAAGAGTGTCAGCCTTATCCACTGTAAAGATACCCCTCACCCCTAGGCATTTAAGAAACACTGTGTGAGAAGGTGCTTTTTTGGTTTAAGATAGGAAAGTGAATATTTATTTCAAATGAGAAAAAACAACAACAGATTACACCATTGTTTTAGGACTTCTTACTTCTCTCAGCAATGTGTACTGCTGTTGCACATCTTTTGTCAGGTTTATCCCTATATATTTTGCATTTTTTTAAAAGAATTTGTGGAATATTTTATTTTATTTTTTTGGCTACGCTGTGTGGCATGCAGGATCTTAGTTCCCAGACCAGGGACCAAACCCGTGCCCCCTGCAGGGGAAGCGTGGAGTCTTAACCACTGGACCACCAAGGAATTTCCTATTTTGCATTTTTTGATGCCATTATAAATGGTTTCCAATTGTTTGTTGCTAATTTATAGAAATACAATTGAGTTTTGTATATCAATCTTATATTCGGCAACATTGCTAATCACCCTTGTAGGGTCTAGTAGCTTTTTTTTTTTTTGTAGAATCCATAGGACTTTTCACGAAAAGGATGTGTTGTCTGTGAAAAAAGGCAGTTTAACTTCTTCCTTTCCAATCTGGATGCCCTTTATTTCTTTTTCATGTCTGATTGCGCTGACTAGAACCCCCAGTACAATGTCAAATAGTAGTAGTGAGAGCAGACATCCTTTTTCCAGATTTTAGGGGGAACATTTTCAATCTTCACAGTTGCATATGACGTTAGCTGTGAGTTTTCATAGATGCCTTTTGTCGGGTTGAGGAAGTTCCATCTACTCCTAGTTTGTGGATTTTTTTTTAATCATGAAAGGATGTTGGCTATTGTCAAAAGTGTTTTCTGTGTCTATTGGGAGGATCACGGTTTTTTCTTTTTTTGTTAATTTGGTGGTTACATTGATTAATTTTCAAATATTAAAACAACTCTTCATTCTGAGATAAACATGGGAGGGATACTCTGAAACTATGGTAACATCCATTCCTCATTAAACTTTCAATTTATTCATGTAAAGTTTCATATCTGTATGTACTCATTGTTTCCCATTTCATTCACTGTGTTATAATTCATTACTATCATTATTTATATTGAGGCTCAGATTGTTCCCAATTTGACCCGTGAGCCTATTCAAATTGGCCTTTGTGTCTTTCTGACACATCAGTACCATTCTTTTCTTTCTTTTTTTTTTTTAACCACCATCATCCTTTAGGCACTTTCTTGTTCTCTGGCACAGACTGCCCCAGCCTGAGAACCAGACATTTCTCCAGGAGCTTGGTTTCTTTTCACGGAACCCTCGACCCCAAACACACCATACACATACACACATACATGTAGCTCACACCAAAACGTCTCTAATTCCAAACCACCCTTGACATGGTTCCTGCTAGTTTTCTCCCCTTCTATATTTTAACTCCTTTTTCCAACAGTAGGAGACCTGGTCCCTATTATCCTTAACATATTATTAATTTGATCAATCCCCCGAATGTAACCCTCACTGCACTTTCCTGCCCCCATATGGACACTCCTCACCCCACTCAGGCTCAGACACACACCCTCACTGGGCCACCCAGACTGTGGACACCCTCATCATCTTGCTGGGCCAACCCCACCCAGGCCAGGCCCCAGTGGTTTGGGCTGTGACTCTCCACACCGGGACCCCTCCTCAGCAGGCCCAGGCCTGACACCTGTGCTATCATGACCCACCTCGGGGACAGTCTCTGGAACCTGCTCTCCTCACCTTGTCCAGGCTCATCACCCCACACTGGGCCAAGCCAACCTGTTGTTCTAGAAGGGAAGTGAGGGGCAGGGCGGGGCAGGAAAAGAACGTGTAACATTTCTCCATCATGGACTCTGGGCTGGACACTTCAGTGCCTTTGACATGTGTTGTTTCAGTGAATCCTGACAACAACCCTGTGAGGTGGGAACTATTATTATCCCCATAGTTCAGGTGAGGAAACTGAGGGGCCAAGGGACTTCCTTGCCCAGAGGCATGCAGCTGTGATGGCAAACGGTTACTCTGTCTCTGAACGGTGAAGTGACAATCCCTCCCCACCCTGTGAAACCTAGAAGAGTTAATAACTTTAGAGAATGACACAATTCAATATTCGATGACCCCCAATTAAGCTTTATAATTACAAATGACAAGTACATGATCAAAACCACTTTTAAGAATTTAACACAACAAAACAGTGCCCTCCTTTCTAAGAAAGCCAGGACTGGGAATTCCCAGGCGGTCCAGTGGTTAGGACTCTGCTCTTTCATTGCCAAGGGCCCAGGTTCAATCCCTGGTTGGGGAACTAAGATCCCACAAGCCGTGAGTCATGACCAAAAAGTAAATAAATAAAAGATAGCCAGGAGTGTTGAAGTACAGATCACTTGTTGAGCTGTAAAACCAATTTCCATCCTCGAATCTAGTTTCTAGAAAACTCACGAAGAAACAGTCTCCAAATTTGATCAGCCAGAAGGGCAGAGACAAGCCCAAAGAGAGAACCCTATTTCTCTCCTCTCAGCTCTCAGTCTTAAGAAGTAACTTAATCGCGGAGTAGAAGCTGCTGTGTCATCGGCGTGTTCTGACACCTCATTGACGTCTCATTAGGAGAAGCCCTTTCTGGACACCCCAGAGGTGGGCTTTGGACTCTGGGCCCCCATTAATGTCATTGTGGCTCTGGATGCCTCAGAAATCATTTCTAGAAGCAGCATCACCTGAGGAAGTACAATTAGAAAGAACAGGAGCTGGGCGTTGAGATGACCCTTGGCTGGCTGTGCGAACTTAGGCAAGGGCTTCAGCTTCTGTGAGCTGCTTCCCCTACAGATGACGGAAATGACTGGCATCCACCTTGCAGGGTCTTGTGCAGGGTCATTGTCTGTCGTTACTAGCATTCACCTATTCATCAGCTGTAGTAATTACTGTCAACAATAATCCTTGCAAGAGTCCCCTTTAGAGCGAAAACGGAGCCAGGTGCTTCTACTGAGGGAAAAGCTTTTCATATGGAAATGTCCCTAAAGTGAACGAGTTTGAAAGAAGAGAAGAAACAGCCCTCTTGGGAGACCCTGGCCAGGGCGCAGGCTTTCCAGCATCCTTTTATAAAGAGGATGCTCAGAGGTGTTTCTTACCATCCTTGGAGAGAGCAGCATTTGGGAGTAAAGGAACCCACGTCCAGCACACACCCATGCCTCAGCGTTTACACTTTGCTACAGATCTAGACGGAAAGAGGCCACTCCTGATTCCTCATGGGAGTGGCGGTAGGTGTTTTCTGTTTTGACCATTTGCAAAAGCCAAATGTTATGCAAACAATATTCTATTTTTTAAAATAAATTTATTTATTTACTTATTTATTTATGGCTGCGTTGGGTCTTTGTTGCTGCACGTGGGCTTTCTCTAGTTGCAGCGAGCGGGGCAACTTTTCATTGCGGTGCGTGGGCTTCTCATTGCCGTGGCTTCTCTTGTTGTGGAGCATGGGCTCTAGGCGCGCGGGCTTCAGTAGTTGTGGCGCATGGGCTTAGTTGCTCCGCGGCATGTGGGATCTTCCCAGACCAGGGTTCGAATCCGTGTCCCCTGCAATGGCAGGTGGATCCTTAACCACTGCACCACCAGGGAAGTCCACAACTATGTTGAATTGAACACTGTAATGAATTAACTCCTTTGTCCTGACTAAACCCTCATAAATTCAGATTTGGTTGTTTTTGCTCTAAAAACAATCCCAGGGAGCGCTCCGGCAGAAGGTCTTTCCTCTGGGGGCTCAGCACCGCCTCGGACAGAGCCGGGGGAGCAGCAACACATCCCTGGACTTTGACGAGCCGCCTCTGGTTACCGAGGGCCCCTCCACGCAGGAGCCAGGTATTGTGGGACAAGCCACTTCACACGCCCTTCTATGCGAGGGCTGCCACTCATTCACCACCTGTTACCTTGTTTCCTGTTGCGCTGTGAGCCAAAAGATAAAAATATCATTAACAGATATGGATAACACGTGTGGAGCATTTTTCTGTTTTATCTCATTTAATCCTTACCCTAACCCAGTGAGGTAGGCACTGTTCTCCATTTTAGAGACCCTAAGCGTCATTAAGTAACACAACCATGTAAGTGGCAGAACCAGGCCTGGACCAAGATCCAGTGACGCCGCAGCCCACAGCCCTGGCCAAATGTCTCACTGCCTTCTGGTCTCGGGGGAGCTCACCCCTAAACATGTGTCTGTTTGCTGACTTTCCAAGGCTTTCCCGGCACACCCTTATCTTTCCACTTGGCTCTGGTATCCCAGTGTTGAGTATGTGGGAAAGCAGATTGGGTTTTTTTATCTTCCATATGATGGGTGTGTGTGGATGGTCCAGCTAACAAAGCCTCACATCGCTCACAAGCAGCAGGCAGACAGCACACATCTAAAGGAGTTAGAAACAGAACAGGATCTCTCCAGCTCAGGAAGGGAGAGAAGTTGCAACTAGAGCCTCACTGATTTCCTTTCAATTATATCTGTTTTCCATTAAAAAAAAAAATCTAGTCCATCATTATGAAGCCACCTTTCTGTTCACTATTTATGTATTAAAAAGTATCAACAAAATGTGTTTCCTTCTTGTCTACCTTTAAAGTGCAATCCTTTCTACAGAATGTGTTGAATCAGCTAGTAGAAAATTCATGAGCAGAAGACCCTGTGAATAGCACTGGTGAACCCTAACCCAAAGGGGTGCCTTTTGTTTCTTTTTTCCATCATGTTGCACGAAACTGGCCGTCAGCTTTGCCTGATAATTCCTCCAGAGAAGCACTCTCTCTATTAACTCCTCAGTGATGTTTGTTGTTCCCCACTACTCATCCCCCCAGAGCCTGATGCCCACCCTGGGGAAGGAGCCACATCCTCTTTCCTGGACAGGATCCAGCAGTTAAGCATGGCCGAGGAAGGAGGCCTGGTGGAGAGTGTGGAGTCTGAGGCCAGCGACGAGGCCGAAGAAGACAGATCCCAGCTGGTGGTTTTGGACCCAAACCATGTAAGGAAACATTCTGGAGCTTTGCTTTTGCCCCATGCAGACGAAGATGGACTTAGAGACACTCCTACACCTGCCCTGTAGGCCCTGCCCTGCCCCGAGCCTCCACGGCCCACCCTCCACCCAGCAAACGCCACACTCAGGTCTCACCTGCTCCCTGAATGGTTTACCTGCAGGGTTTGAGCTGCCACCTTGTAAAGTTTATTCTCCCTTTAAGTTCATTCATTCAGAGTCAGCATTTCCCAACCTCCACACTATAGACATTTGGGGCCAGATCACTCGTTGTGGTGGGGGCTTCCTGGGCACTGTAGGATGCTGAGCAGCATCCCTGGGGCCTCCACCCACTAAATGCCAGTAGCACCCCCTTAGTTGTGATGGCCAGAAATGTCTCCAGACTGGGTATTGGGTGGGCGCAAAATCACCCCCACTGATAGCCACTGCCTTGAGTGTCCCACCCCTCTGGCAAGTGGGGAGGGCAGGTCTTGGTTGGATGAACCTCTTTGGAAAGACTTGGTGCTGCCGGTACCACGGGAAGGGTCAGGGCTGCGCTGGGAAGAGGGGCTGAGAGTTCATCTGGCGCTGGCATCCCAGGCACTGCTCATCACTGCCCTCTGGCCGCAGGGGTTAAACCAGGACCGCTGCCCCAGCCCACCCTGTCATTTTGCACTCAGGTCCTTCAGTGCCTAGGAGGAGACCACAAGTGCCTTGAATTTGTGGCTTCTGGAATAAGAATCCTGGGCAGAAGTGGGGAGCACCCAGCGTGGAAGTCACTTCTGCCGTCCCCTGCCAAGAGTTGTGGCAATTCAGGCTAAGCCCTGGAGGGGACAGCACAGTAACCGGCTGTGCTCTTCCACTGTTTTAGCCCCTGATGATAAGATTCCAGGCTGCCCTGAAGAACTATCTTAACCGGCAAATAGAGAAACTGAGGCTGGAACTTCAAGAGCTGGTGCGTACCTGTCCCGCTTTCCACCTGGCTGTGCACCCGCATCTCCATGACCCAGCTTCTCTCTCTGGTGCAGGGCGTGGCCACCAAGCAAAGCCGAATCCAGCGGCAGGAGCTGGGGGTGGACCTTTACGGGGTCCAGCAGCACCTGGCCCGCCTGCAGATGCAGCTCGAGAAGAGCCACGACCGCCACTCGATCACAGCGTGCGAGAGGCGGAGGAAGGAGGAGGAGCTGCGGAGCGTGCGCTTGCGCTACGCCAGGACCTGCGAGACCGCTGGCGAGGAGCGCAAGAAGCGTAAGGCGGCCCCGTGTCCTCACAGGCGTCCCCGTGGCGCGTCCCCGCGTGCCATAGACACCCCAAGGGGCATCCTCACATGCCTTCGTATCCCTGAATGCCATTGCAACCTGGTGGGGTGTTCCCAAGTGCCATCATGACCCCGAGGGGTGTCCCCACATGCCATCGCAGGACTTCACGAAAGGCAAGCTGTGTTCCCATACTGGAGGGGTTCCCAAACTTTTGGGGGAAGGAAAACATAAATGTCTTAAAATGCACCTAATTAGGCAAAGTAGCAAACACTGAAAGCCGGCAGGCGGGGTATTTGGAGTGAAAAGCGGGAAAGGGGGGCTTCCCTGGTGGCGCAGTGGTTAAGAATCCGTCTACCAATGCAGGGGACACAGGTTCGATCCCTGGTCCGGGAAGATCCCACATGCCGAGGAGCAACTAAGCCCGTGTGCCACAACTGCTGAGCATGTGCTCTGGAGCCCGTGAGCCACAACTACTGAAGCCCGTGCACCTAGAGCCTGTGCTCCACAGCAAGAGAAGCCACCACAGTGAGAAGCCCGTGCGCAGCAACAAAGACCCAATGCAGCCAAAAATTAATTAATTAATTAATTTAAAAAGTGCTGGAGAGGCTGGTGGGCTGCTGGGGTTGAAGATGGGGTATCCAGAAGGCAGGGAAGAGCAGGGATGGGCAGAGTTTAAATAGGTGGGGAGGTACAGGTGAGGCCAATCCAAAGCGCAGGAGCCCATGGTCCAGAGCCCTGCAGCCCCACGATGTGTGGCAGATTACGGGGAATAGGTGGCTTTGGAGCAGAAGAGACAGCGAGGGTGCGACTAGTCACCGTGCACTGTTCCTACCAAAGCAGCAGCTCTGCGCGGAGCGGAGGTCGTGGGCCACAGTGAACAGCGTGGTCACAGCAGGTTATTTCAGTTGTGCTTTTTCATGTTTCCAACTTTCTTTATCAACTCTGTATTACTATTATAATGGGGAAAATAACCTAGAAGAATTTGGGAGAAACCAAAATCACACGTATATCCCAACTGTGGATGGAAAGAAGCATTTTGGACCCTGAGAAATGCAGGAGAGTTTTCTGGACAGAGTTGGGGAAGAGCACCCCTCCCTGAGTATCACCAAATTAACAGAATCTACCAAAAAGAGAAGAACACGACATTCACACTAAAACAATGGAGCCACATCCTCCGGATATAACAGAATTTAGACCAGTCTGAAAGAGGACACAGGTCCCCCACCCCCTCCACACAGGAGAAGTGAGTGCCCACCAGCACCCCTCATCGGATCCTCGAGGTGTGGATGGGCTTCTGGAAAGATCCAGACATCTTCGTGGACACTCTGTCCTTTCTGGAAGTCACCAGGTAGCAGGAGCAGAAGCTGTTCAACCAAGCAAGGACCCACCTAACGGCACCGTTTCTCCCCTCTTCAGACTAAAGAACTCGGGTGGCGGTCCCAGCCCTGCGTACCAGGTGCCGCCACTGCACTGTCCCGTAGGTGAAACGTGGGGCTTGGCCTCTGGAGAATGTCCACAGTTGACCTCCTCACTTAGGAGGGGGGTGAAGCCCACCAGTCAGTAAACCTTCACATCCAAATGTGAGTCATCAGTGGCAATCCCCAGACAGGAGAGCAGACGCCTCCACAGACACAGGCCGGGTTCCGAAAGCATAGCATACGCCAGCTGTGTTCGACATGAGATTTTAGAGGACATCTCATCAGTCAAATGAGTACCAACTATTAGGGAAAAGGATACTCGGAATTAAAATATAGAATCGCCCCGCACACCCCGCCAGAAGGACTAAATAGGCAAATCAGCACTGCTGGAAATTGAACAATTGAACTTGTGTCTAAAAGGTCAGTTTGAGGAATTCTGCCCAGAATCAAAGCAAAAACTCAAAGTGACGGACGTTTTGAGAAGGAGATAAAAGACATGGACTGTAGGTCTGGTAAAGTCAGTATCCGTGAGATAGAAATTCCAGGAGATTAGGGGCATTAACCAGTGACATCAGAGGAAAACATTTGCATGAGTTCAAGAAAGATGAATCTTCAGATGTAAAGTCTCATGGAGGGCCAGATGGGTGGAAGAAAAAATAAACATGCCTAGACATAGTTGGTGAAATTTTTAAATTCCAAAGGTAAAGGGAAAAAAATGCCATAGGATTACAGACAGGACAAAACCAGACACTTCCTATGTTATTTAACCCACAAGTGGGTGGAAAATTTGGGAAACTCTTCCCAGGCTTTTTTTTTTTTTTTTTGCTGCATTGGGTCTTTGCTGTGCACGGGCTTTCTTTAGTTGCAGTGAGCAGGGGCTATTCTTTGTTGCGGTGCACGGGCTTCTTATTGCGGTGGCTTCTCTTGTTGTGGAGCACCAGCTCTAGGTGCGTAGGCTTCAACAGCTGTGGCACGCGGGCTCAGTAGCTGTGGCTCGCGGGCTCTAGAGCGCAGGCCCAGCAGTTGTGACCCACGGGTTTAGTTGCTCTGCGGCATGTGGGATCATCCCAGAACAGGGCTTGAACCCGTGTCCCCTGCATTGGCAGGCAGATTCTTAACCACTGTGCCACCAGGGACACCACGCCTCCCCCCCACCACACACACCCCACCCCAGGCTTATTTTACAATGTTCAGTATAATCCTTACTGGAAAAGCTTACAACGTACAAAAACAGAAAACTATAAAGTGTTACTACTTATGAGGTGTAAAAATCCTAAATAAAATATTAACAAATATTAAATTTTTACTCATGAACAAAAGATTAAGTTCAGCAATATATGAAAAGAAAAATACCTCCTAGTCAAGAGGGCTTAATTCTGGAATAATTTGAAATTAGGAAATCTACTGATTCATTGCATTATATTCTTAAAGGAGAGAGAACGAATAGATTTTCTGGGTGGATGTCAAATGGGTGTTTGGATAAAACTCATTGTCGATCCTAAACTAGGATAGAAGGAAAGTTCATTGTAAGTATTTATCAGCAACTAACAAGGCAGTTTTACTCAGAGGAAAGCCCTGGAGTAATCATAGTTAAGGAATGAGACGAGGATGCATTGTTTTGGAGGTTCCAGCCATGAAAGAAAACAGGAAAAATAAACGAAGTATAGATTCTGGATATGAAGCCGTGGAACTCATTCTCCACCAATGGTATGATTGTTTACCTAGCAGACGCAAGATCACTGATGAAAAGCTAAAAAAAACAGTAAGAAATCTATAAAGTAACTGAATACTAGAGCTATAATTTTCTTTTCTACCAGTCATATCCAATTATGAATTATAATTTTTTAAAACCTCATCCATAATAGCTATAACAACCATAAAATACTGAGGAGTAAGTCTAACAAGAAGCAAGTGAACCTATCTGAGGAAAAACAATAAAATTTTACTAAAGGACCTAAAGCAGATTTAAATAAATGGAACAATCATGTAACCAAATGAGAGGAAACAAATGTCATTTCTCTCCAAAATAATAAGTAGTTCAATGCAAGTCCAGTTAAAATCCACGATGGGATGTTTTGGGTGAACTTGAATTTATTTAACACAGTTATTATTTTCAAGAAGTAATAATACAAAATTAAGGCACTCTGGAGTCTCCCCCGCCCCAGCCTCCAGCCACCTCCACAGAGGCACACGGTATTATTGATTCTTGTGTATTCTTTTAAAGATGTTTTTGCATATAAAAGCAAAGTTACAAGGGTTGTGGTATTTTTTCTATATTTTTTACACAAGTAGCTGCATATTATACCCAATGCTCTGTTCCTTGCTTTTTTTCCCTTATCAATGCATGCATGCAATACCTAAAAAGCTCTCCAATGATTTTCAAGTTCCAAGTTCACTCGGAACACTAAATGCACAAGAATATCCAAGAAAATGGTGAAAAGGAAGGATAATGAAGGGAAATTGTCCTATCAGGTATCAAAACACAGTATCAATCTACAGCAATAGAAACAAAATGGCACTAGAGAAAAAATGGGCAAACAGATCAATAGTGCAGAGTAGGGAGTTCCAGGAAATTTACTCAGGAATTTAGCTATTTACTGCAAATTGAAAGTACAGGTTGTATTTTTAAATCACGAAATATTTTTGATCATTTGACCACCTGAAAATAAACACTTAGACTCCTATTTCACACTAAACAAATCCCATTGACCCTGCAAATCTCTCTGGCTTCCTCTTCTGACACCAGGTCAAGAAAACTCTGCTTCTAGAGTGCTCAACTGCTCAGGTCAAGCCCACCTGATCATTTCCTTTTTTGCCACAAAACACAATCACAGGAGTGACACTGGGGGCAGAGGTCATGGGAGGCATTTGAGACTCTAGCCATCCTGTTTTTATTACGTGAAGGGCCCTTTGAAGCCTAATAGGTAAAAGACGACTATCCCACCCGTAGAAGAAGGGCCAATGGTATGAGCAGGCAAGTCGGAGAAGGAAAAGGACAGCTGGTCTTCAAACTGTGAAAATAGACTTGATTTCACTAATGTTGAAAGAATACAAATTAAAAAGAATATTTGAAATATTGACTCTCAGTCACTCAGCCAGGAAAGGATAGAGGGGCAGAAGTGAGTGCCCTGAAGGATGGGTGGGCAAGCTCTCTGATTCAGGTGGGGGTGGGTTAGTTGGCGCCCTCTGCCATAGAAAAGGGCCACAGACTGGGCGGCTTGAAGAACAGAAGTTTGTCTTCTTGTCATTCTGGAGGCCAGATGTCCAAGATAAGGTGTTGGCAGGGTGTTTCCTCCTGAGGCCAATCTCCTGGGCTTGTAGACGGCTGTCTTCTCCTTGTGTCCTCACAAAGTCATCCTCTGTGTGTCTGTGTCCTAACCTACTCTTCTCATAAAGACACCAGTTGTTAGGGCCCACCCTGGTGACCTCATTTTATCTTAATTACCTCTTTAAAGACCCTCTCCCCAAATACACCCCCACCCCAGTCTACCCGGCAACCACTCTTTCTACAAAACCTCCCCCCTCGCTTCCCTGCATTTGCTCCATTCCCCTCCCCTATAACTCTTAGCCACACAGGAGCCAAAGAATTCTCTAGTGTTAGAGTTTTTACAGTCATCTTAGATGTAAAAAAAAAAAAACAAATTATTGTTTAAGTTCATCCTTCAAAAACACCTAACTCCAACATGATATTCACCCAGCAGCCTTTTGATCTATAAATCGATTTTCTGTTTAGATCTACCCACTGAATAAGGAATGCTCTACACAAGTGAGCCAACAATTACTGGTTGAAGTCTATCTCCCTAAATAAACTGGTGTTCTACCTTATAAATCAATCTCATGTGGAGCAAAGGAACCCATGCTTCAGTGGTGCTCAGCCCACCCTTCAGGCTGGTTTCCTCCCAGGGGATTTAGGACTGTACCTGAGATTGCCAACCTCTAAGTGGTAAGAAATCTGTAAAATTCACATGAGGCCTCCTAACCTTGACACTGTTTCAGAACATCCTTAGACACGGAGAATCTCTAATATGTGGTGGGAATGGAGGGCTTATTGCAGTTGAAGGGCATAGATTACGTATATTTCGTCTCTCCAACTAGACTGTAAAGTCTTTGATGGCAAAGGTATGGATCTTTGTAGTTTAAAGGCTGTTTCCCAGACCCACTCCACAGTGTGGGGAGGGGTGCTGCTTCCACGATGTCTGGTGTGCGATGCTGGGACACCCTCCCCCTCTCTCCCCAGTGGCAGCTCTGCAAACCGAGATGGAGACCCTGGCTCTGAATCTCTTCTACATGCAGAACATAGACCAGGACGTGCGTGACGACATCCGGGTGATGAAGCGAGTCGTGAAGAAGTCGGAAGCCGAGCGCATGCGGGCCGAGTTGGAGAAGAAGCAGCAGGTGTTCTGCAAAGATGATGCCCGTGTGACTGTTTGCCACATCTTTGATTTCCTGATTTAATCAGCCCTGCCCCTGCGTGAATACCGCAGCCCCGGGGGCCATGCCCAGCATGGGGTTGCTGACATGGGTTGAGGTTGCTGGGGACCCATCTCACTGTGCATCTTGTCCCCTCCCTTCCAGGACCTGCACGTGGACCAGCTGACCACCCGAGCCAACCAGCTGGAAGAACAGATGGCCCTGTTCGAGGCCCAGTACCGCGTGCAGGCTGAGGACACCCGGACGCTCAGGAAGGCAGTGAGCGAGGTAAGCGCTCAGTGGCACAGGCGCCATCTGGCAGCGCCCAGGCAGTGCCTGCATGCCTGCAAGGAGACTGACTGAGCCCCCAGTTAGCCGGCCAGCCTCCTGCACATCTGTCTGTCCTCATAAGCGTCTCAGAGCATCTGGCTGACCCACGTTGGGGACACAGTAGATACCAGCTGACTGGTGGCCAGTATTCTTATTCCCACTATAGCCAGGGATAGACTGAAAGGCCCCTCAGGAGATGGGACATTCTGTCCTGCTTGCTGAGGCATCCTTAGCAAGTTCCTTACTGACAGCAGGCCTCTCTCGGAGAGGGCTGAAGTCTCCCTACCCATTCTCAGCCTGGGCAGGCAGTGCTCCAGGGCAGTGCCCACATCTCCCTTCCCATGTGGAGTAAGGGAGGGCCCGGGTTCAGTGCAGCTCCCAGTTCAGTGGCCAGCACTGGAAAGCAAAGTGGCTGTGACGTTTTTTTAATCTGTGAGTCACCATCTGCATTCGTATGTGCAGTGATGACACAAAGGGAACGACACACTTTTATTGAAGGAGAGACAGATGGGCTTGAGCAAACGAACAAACACACCTGGGTCCACCTGGGAAAACACCCAGTGCTTGCCAACCTATGAATATACTTAATCTAGAATGTGCTCCCACCAGAACCTCAGGGGGGAAGAAACTTCTTAGTTAGCAAAGTGATTCTTAATTTTATCTGAAAAGTAAATTCAGAGGACTAGCAGAGAATTGTCCGGGGGGGAAGGTTCATGAAGGCTGGCCCACGGTCCCAGTTTGCCCAGAAATGACAGATTTCCTGAGACGTGGGACTTCCTGGGCTAGAACCAGGGGAGTCCAGGACAAACTGGGATGGTGGGTCCACCTAGCATTAAATACTATAAAGCCCTAGAGGCTAAAATAATGAATTACTGGAGTCAGGGACAGACAGGTAGGCTGCGGGAGCCTGTGAGAGGGCTCAGAATCAAGGAAACGTTTATATAGAAATTTCATGGATTATAAATTAATGGAGAGCAAGTGAATTATGCACCCAGTGGTGTTGGGACATTTGGTTAATCATTTGGGGAAAAAAATCAAATCTTTTCCTCATACCACACACTAAAATAAATTCCACATGGGCTCAAGGATTGAAACAAGGGAAACTGTACCAGAAGAAAGAAAATGAGAAATATTTATAAAGCCCTGGATTGGAGAGGCCTTTCTAAGCATAACACCAGTAAGTTTGGTGGTATAAAGAGATTTTGAAAATCAATTCAGAATCTGCCGTGTGCGATTCTGCTCTGTGATGATTGTGTACACACACACGATGCTGTAGTTTTCTTTCATTATGTCTTTTTTGCCTCCCGCCCCTCCCTGCTGGCTGTGTGCCATCGGGGCAGGGCCGTCCCATGTTTGTTCATCCTGCATTCCTGCACCCAGAACAGGGGGGCCCATGGCAGGTGCGACACAGACATTGACGACAAATGAGGGCGGGACAGGGGTTCTGCCACCAAGTTGGCAAAGATGAACAAGGCAGGGGAATCGGGGCTCCCACACTGATGGTGGGGGTGCAGTCTGTCTTCATCAAGATCCGTATTCAAGGGCAATACTGTACTGCATGTCAGGGACACCCACCCTACTCCCCAGCAAGCTCTCCCAAAATATCACTTTTTGGACTTCATTCCAGGGAAAATAGGCATGCAAATAAAATTTCTGTATACATTACATACTTCACGAACAAAATGAATAGAGAGTCACTGGGGACACAGTGCTGTGTGTGATAACCAAGCAAGTCCCAAGAAGAGGATATTGGTTAAACAAATTATGATATATCCATGCAGTGGAGGACAATCCCACCAATAAAATAAATATTTGCTGGCATGGAAACCCATTCACAATATGCTACTTTTTATTTTCATTTTTAATATTTATTTATTTGGCTGCGCCGGATCTTAGTTGCAGCACATGGGATCTTAGTTGTGGCACGCAAACTCTTAGTTGCGGCTTGCGGGCTCTTAGTTGCGGCATGCACGTAGGATCTAGTTCCCTGACCAGGGATCGAACCCTGGCCCCCTGCATTGGGAGCGCAGAGTCATAACCGCTGGACCACCAGGGAAGTCCTGCTATTTTTTAATATTAAGTTACAAAACAATAATAGGATATGATTGCTTACACACACACACACATGCACACAAACACACACGCACACAAAACACACACAGGAAGATAACACCAGGGTGTTAGAAATGGTAAACTCTAAGTTGTGGGATTATTTTTATTTTCTTTTTGCTTATTTCCATATTCTAATTTGAGTAGAATAAACACCTTTTTTAATGAGAAGTGTGTTTAAAACATTTAAAGACTGAATTCAGCCTCGATTTTTGCATCTCAGCCTGTACCTTGGTCAGCAAGCCTTCGTCCGGCAGCCTTGGGGACTCGGGGGGCACCTGCCTCTGGCTGACCAGCCCCACAGAGCCCAGCCTGGGGAGGAGCCCAGTGGTTTTGGTACCTACTGCCTCGGCCGGGCACTGTTGGGCAGTGCACAACCTACTCAACGGCACAGAGCAACCTCCTCAGTTAATAACTTACCCAAATCTGGAAATGTCTCACCAGTCATGGTATCATTAATTCATACCACTTTATGCTCTATAATAATAATAATGAATAGATGATTTTTTAAAGCCCTGACACCTCAGAGTGGGACCCCCAGGGGTGACGCCTCCTTTGACGTCCAGCTCCACCCTTTTATTGTACCTGTGAGTGTTCAAGGCCACTCTGACTTCCTCCAGCATCTACCATGCACATCCACCAAGAGCAGACGCTGCTGGGACTCAGCACCTCCACAAAGATGCTCGTGGCCTAATGGGGGTCTCACCCAAGCTCCCATTCAGTGCCCCTTCCGGGAATCAGCACGAGACCAACTTGCTAACGGTGCAATGATTCCACTGAAATGACCCATCAGGACATTCTGAGCACCACGCGACACAGCAATTGTGGTCGAGCTAAGAACGTGCTGGGCATACAGGCACCACCCCCTCTGATCCGACGGCCGCAGGATGTGGGTACTGTTACTGTTCCCGTGTCACAGCTGGGGCTCAAGGCTCAGGCAGGTGTTAGACAGGCCTTTAGAGCCATGTTTAATTTCACATGTGTCCTGCTGATGCAGATAAAGAAAAGCATGGGTAACAGAGAAGGAAGATGATTCAGGAAGCTCGGGGCTCTCCGACATCCTTTTGGGGCTCTGAACTTAATGACATAAGACCAACATCCAAGTAACCTCAACTCTCCACTGCAGGCCTGCACGGAAATAGATGCCATCAACGTGGAGAAAAAGCGCATCCTGCAGCAGTGGGCCACCAGCCTGGTGGGCATGAAGCATCGCGACGAGGCTCACAAGACCATCCAAGAGGCACTCAGGTACAGGCGGCCCTTCTGGTTGCCATGGCGGTGGGCCAGGTGGCTCAGGACCACAGGGGGGGTCTGGGCGAGCGGGGAGAGCTCGTGACAAGTGTGGGAATGCGGAGGTGGGTGCGGAGTGGACTCCACGCCCAGCTCCTCACAGGTGAGCACGGAGCGCCCATCCTCGGCTCTCCTGGGACAAAGGGGCGCACCTGCAGCCGCGCAGCCCTTCGGCCCCAGCTTCCGTCCTGAAGCCACCCTTATTGTTCACCCAGATTTCAGTGTTTCTTAAATCCTTTCAAACTTTCCGTGGCACCAGGAGCAGCAAAGCTTTCCCGCTCAGATTTCCTGGGAGGATTAAGGAGAAACAGTGAGAGAGAGAGAAAGAAAAAGGGGTATTTATCTTGGGGAGATAAAGGTGCCCCTTTGATTTGCAGTTTCACCACCTGTGTGCAGAAACTTCATCCCTTCTCTATTGTTCTGCCAAGGGCTGAGTTCCAACCAAAATCCTGCTTTAATCTCCCTGAAAAGGGAAGGAAGAGGCCCCCCTCGCGTTCCCCTCTCACTTCTAGCGAGGGCTGGACGTGTAGCCTGGGCGGGGTGCTGGAGACAGAGGCTTCCAGACACAGCACTGCCTGAATTCCCCAAACCTCCAGGGTGCTTGGGGCCCAGATGTGGAAGCCGGTTCTGGAGGGAGCACATCATAGCTCGACTCGACCTCAGAAAAACAAAACCGGAGGGACTGATTGTTTTTACAACAAGTCATTTTACATGGGTAATGCTGGATTAAAATTACTCATTTCCTTCATCTCCCCGAGTCGATGAGAGAAGGCCAGAGGGAGAATCATGGAATTACCCCGGCAAAGTCCGGCTAAGCGTCTGCTTTCCCTTTAAACGTGCAGGTGGAGGAGCCGGGGGCTCGGCGCTGTGCGGTCGGGCTCCTCTCTACCCTGTCCCCTGGGCTGCTGGCCTGCCCACTCCCGCTGTGTCTGCCCCCTCAGTGCTGCCCTGTGTTTGCTGCAGGAGAGGCCTTGGCCTGTGGGCAGCTTTTCCCTCCTGCCCAGCGTCGACCTTGAGTAAGGTTGAAGCTGGGAGTCTCATGGCCTGTGCCCCCCACAGGGACCCCCCCGTTGTCTAGCACTTCCTGTGTGTGTCTGTTTTGTGTGTGTGTGTGTGTGTGTGTGTGTGTGTGTAAGCAATCATATTCTATTATTGTGGGTCCCCGCCACACTGAGACTTGAAAGACAGCAGCTCCTACGGAATCTTCGTAGTTAGTGACAAAGTCGTATCAGGAGTGCGTCCCAACCACAGGTGAAGAATCATGTTGAGGCTGCAGCAAACACTGAACGTCATACATTCAAAGCAAATGGGTCATTTCCACGTGAAACGTCTCAGAACAAGCCAGAAAATACATACTATACTGTGCTTAACTTGGGTTGGGGGGATACCCTGCCTAGAATTTACACCCTCTCAGGGATAGGGACACAGACAGGTCCCCTTGTGCCCTGGTATCTGCCTCTGTCATACTTCCTGACAGGATACGTGTGGTACAGGCAGGGCTCAGCACCTCTGCTGGGTGTTAATTTGTCAGCTTCATCGCCTTGAGATCCTGTAACAGGTTCCCTCTTAATCCTCAGATGGATTGGGCCAAGCTTCAGACATATTCTAGATTCTACCAGTTCTTTTCGTTCTGTTTATTTTCCACTGGTGCCTGTTAATCAAGGACTCTTTTTAATCAACTTGTTAATTGAAGTACAGTTGATTTACAATGTTGTATTAATTTCTGCTGTACAGCAAAGTGATTCGGTTTTACATATATAGGCATTTTTAAAATATTCTTTTCCATTAAGGTTTATCATAGGATATTGACTCTAGTTCCCTGCGCTCTACAGTAGGACCTTGTTGTTTATCCATCCTATATATAAAAACTTATATCTGCTAACCCCAACCTCCTACTCCATCCCTTCCCCAACCCCCTCCCCCTTGGCAACCACCAGCTTGTTCTCTATGAAGGACATTTTTAAAGAGTGTCTTTTTAATTTTATTATTTTTTAAATTCTTGGCCATACTGTGGGGCTTGCGGGATCTTAGTTCCCTGATCAAGGATTGAACCTGGGCCACAGCAGTGAAAGTGCCGAGTCCTGGACAACTGGACCGCCAGCGGATTCCTAAGTGTGTCTTTTTTAAAAATAATTTTTATCAAGGGTAAGTGATCACATTACAGGAAACTAGAGAAACAGAGATAAAGATTTAAAACACACAGTCTTTCTCCTTTTGTGACAATGACAGTTGATTAACTAGCATTCTGGTGTCTTTTCCCCCATGCACGTTTTACTGAGTGTTCAGATTTGTGCCATAAAAATTGGATGTCTCATTGTTATTGTTATTGTCAAATTCTAGGTATTTATAAGGCTTCTACTTCCTAAAAAAGAAAGTGAGTAACTTTTAAAAGTTTGGTTTATTGAGGATAATTTATGTACAAATTTATTATGTAAATTATTAGTGTTATGTAAAAAGTTATCCTTTTTCAGAGCACAGTTCAGTTCAGCAAATGGACAGACGCAAGTAGCCATCATACACTCAAGATATCAGCTATTTCCTGCATCCCAGAAGTCAGTACCTCTTCCCACCTCCAGCCCCCAGCAAACTCTGATCTGCTTTCTGTTCCTATAGTTTGGTCATTTCTAGAATGTCATATAAACAGGATCACACAATATGTAGCTTTTCTTGTCTAGCTTTTTCTTCACTTTGCAGAGTGCTTTGAGAGTCAGCCTGATGTCACAAGATCAGTTGCTGACTAGTAGTCCCTCATGTGCATATATCAACATTTGGTTGTTTCCAGTTTGGAGGGGAAGCATTACCAGAGCTGCTGTGAAATTGTGTGCAGGTCTTGGTATGGGAATGCAAAATGGAACAGGCCACTTTGGGAAACACTTTGGCAGCATTTGAGATCCCCAGCCATTCTCATCCTCACCAACACTTAATAGTGCCGTCATTTAAATTTTGGCCATTAGTAGATATGTTGTGGTGTCCTGTCGAGATTTTAATTTGCATCTTCCTAATGACCAATGATATTGAGCGTCTTTCATGTGAGTATTTGCCATCCATATATCTTCTCTGATAAAAGGTGTCTTTTGCTCATTTTTAAAAATTGAAGTATAGCTGTTTACAATGTTTCAGGTATACAGCAAAGTGATTCAGATATATATATATGTATACTTTTCCATTATAGGTTATTACAAGGTATTGAATATAGTTCCCTGTGCTATTGTTTATCTATATATCTGTTAATCCCAAATTCCCAATGTATCTCTCTACCCCCTTTCGCTTTGGTAGCCGTAGGTTTGTCTTCTATGTCTGTGAGTCTATTTCTGTTTTGTAAATAAGTTCATATGTATCATTTTTTTAGATTCCACATATAAGTGGTATCATATGCTATTTGCCTTTCTCTTTCTGACTTACTTCACTTAGTGTGATCATCTCTAGGTCCATCCATGTTGTTGCAAATGGCATTATTTCATTCTTTTCATGGCTGAGTAATTGCGTATATATGTGTGTGTGTGTATGTATGTATGTATATATATACACATACACACATACCACATCTTCTTTATCCATTCATCTGTTGATGGACATTTAGGTTGTTTCCATGTCTTGTCTATTGTAAATAGTGCTGCTATAAACACTGGGGTGCAGGAGTCTTTCCGAATTAGTTTTTGTCTTTTCTGGATATATGCCCAGGAGTGGGATTGCTGGATCATATGGTAACTCTATTTTTAGTTTTTTAAGGAACATCCGTACTGTTCTCCATAGTGGCTGCACCAATTTACATTCCTACCAACAGCGGAATGTAAATTTTTCTCCACACCCTCTCCATCATTTATTATTTGTAGACTTTTTGATGATGGCCGTTCTAACTGGTGTGAGGTGATACCTCATTGTAGTTTTGATTTGCATTTCTCTGATTATTAGTGATGTTGAGCATCTTTTCATTTGCCTGTTGGCCATCTGTATGTCTTCTTTGGAGAAATGTCTATTTAGATCTTCTGCCCATTTTTTGATTGGGTTGTTTGGTTTTTTTTATGTTGAGCTGTTTGAGCTGTTTGTATATATTGGAAATTAATCCCCTGTCAGTCACATCATTTGCAAATATTTCCTCCCAGTCTGTAGGTTGTCTTTTTGTTTTGTTTATGGTTTCCTTTGCTGTGAAAAATCTTTTAAGTTTAACTAGGTCCCATTTGTTTATTTTTGCTTATGTTTCCATTACTCTAGGAGATAGATCCAAAAAACTATTGCTGTAATTTATGTCAAAGAGTGTTCTGCCTATGTTTTCCTCTAGGATTTTTATAGTATCCAGTCTTACACTTAAGTCTTTAATCCATTTTGAGTTTATTTTTGCATATGGTGTTAGAGAATGTTCTAATTCATTCTTTTGCAAGTAGCTGTCCAGTTTTCCCAGCAATACTTATTGAAGAGAATGTCTATTCTCCATTGTATATTCTTGCCTCCTTTGTCATAGATTAATTGACCATAAGTATGTGGGTTTATTTCCGGGCTCTCTATTCTGTTCCATTGATCTATGTGTCTGTTTTATTGTGCCAGTACCATACTGTTTTGATTACTGTAGCTTTGTAGTGTAGTCTGAAGTCAGGGAGTGTGATTCCTCCAACTCTGTTCTTCTTTCTTAAGATTGTTTTGGCTATTCAGGATATTTTGTGTTTTCATACAAATTTTAAAACTTTTGGTTCCAGTTCTGTGAAAAATGCCATTAGTGATTTGATAGGGATCACATTGAATGTGTAGATTGCTTTGGGTAGTATGGTCATTCTAACAATATTGATTCTTCTAATCCAAGAACATAGTATATCTTTCCATCTGTTTGTGTCATCTTCAATTTCTTTCATCAGTGTCCTTTAGTTTTCAGAGTACAGGTCTTTTGCCTTCTTAGGTAGGTTTATTCCAAGGTATTTTATTCTTTTGCTCATTTTTAAACTGAGTGGTTTATCTGATTATTGAGTTATGAGTTCTCATATGTTCTGGATACAAGTCCTTTACCAGATGTGTATTTTGAAAATATTTTTCTCCCAGGCTGGCTTGTAATTTCATTCTCTTAACGGTGTTTTTTGAAGAGCCAAAGTTTTAAATTTTGATGGATTCCAATTTATTAATTTTTTTCTTTCATAGTTCATGCTTTTTATGTCCTCTCTAAGAAATCTTTGCCTGACCTAAAGTCATAAAGATTTTCTCTATGTTTTCTGCTAAAGTGTGATAATTTTAGGTATATGATCCATTTAGGTATATGATCTATTTCAAGTTAATTTTTTTTTTTTTTTTTTTTTGCGGTATGCGGGCCTCTCACTGTTGTGGCCTCTCCTGTTGCGGAGCACAGGCTCCAGACATGCAGGCTCAGCGGCCATGGCTCACGGGCCCAGCCACTCCACGGTATATGGGATCTTCCCGGACTGGGGCACGAACCCGTGTCCCCTGCATTGGCAGGCAGACTCTCAACCACTGCACCACCAGGGAAGCCCTCAAGTTAATTTTATTATGGTCTGAGGTTCAGTCTTTTTTTGCATGTCCATCTCCAGTTGTCTTAGCACCCTTGGTGAAAAGACCATCCTTTCTCCACTGAAATACTGTGGCACCTTTGTCAGAAATCAGTCAATTGTGTGTATGTGTGTGTGTGTGTGTACACTCTCCATCCTGTTTCATTGATCTATTTGTCTATCTTTCGCCAATACCACATTGTCTTCATAAGTACAGCTTTATAGAAAGTCTTTAAATCAGATATTGGGAGTCTTTGTTCTTCTTTTACAAAATTATTTTGGCTATTCTAGGTCCTTTGGATTTCCATATGAATTTTAGAATTAGCTTGTCAATTTCTGGGGAAAAAATGCCTACTGGCATTGAGATTGGAAACGCATTGAGACTATAGAGCAGTTTGAGGAGAATTGGCACCTTAATATTGAATCTTCTGCTGCATGAACACAGCATATCTCTTCAGTATCTTTTTTTTTTTTTAATGTGTACAGGTGTTTATTGCTATACTGGTGAAATTGGGAAAAAGCAGAAAACTGGATAGAGCCTAAATGTATACCAATGAGATATTTAAAATACTATCTGGTCATTGAAAAGAATTAAGGCGATTTCTATGTACACTGATATTGAATATCTCTAAGATACAACAGAAGAAAAAGTAAGGTGCAGAATAGGATATACTAAGCTTCCACTTGTAATTTTTTAAGTGGAGAGAAATACGCAAACACCCACAAACATAATGTTTATATATGCATAAAATACATCTGGCAAGACATTTAAGAGACAGTAACAGGCTGCCGGGGGAAGAGAGTCCAAGGCCCAGGAATAGATGTGAGAAAAATATGGAAGGTATTATTCTAGTTCAAGAAGAAAGTACTTTTTGAATTTTTGAATAAAAACTTATTCAAAGGATAAGATACCACAAGTAGAGAAAAGCATGCTTAAAGTACAGCAGGACAGCACAGAGTGAAAGGGAAAAAATGTCTCACACACACAAATTCAAATTCCATTATCCAGGATCTGCATTTTTTAACTTGACATTACTTATGGGTATTTCCATGACCAGTGTGCTGAGGGGATTTGAAGAGACAGCCACCTGTATTCCTCCCAGCTACACCATTCACTGTGCACCTCAAATGCTTTAAGCTTCGTGTTCACGAGTACAAAACTGAGATAACAGCATATCCTTTCCAAGGGTTATGGTCATGACTAAAGGAGATGGGCTGGCGCCAACCACTCCCCACCCACAGCACAAGGCAACAGTTTCCTGCCCTTTCCCCCTCCCATAATCACAATATTAGAAGAGTTTTAGACTTGGACTTGAGATAGGTAATAGTTCTTTTAACTTTTATTTTTATTTATTTATTTTATTTTTGGCTGCACAGCATGCAGGATCCTAGTTCCCCAACTAGGGATCGAACCCATGACCCCTGCAGTGGAAGGATGGAACCCCAACCACTGGACTGCCAGGGAAGTCCCGGGTAATAGTTCTAATACATTAGAAAATATTAGTCAAGATTTGAGTACTATTGGGACTTCCCTGGCAGTCCAGTGGTTAAGACTCCATGCTTCCACTGCAGGAGGTGTGGGTTGGATCTCTGGTCAGGGAACTAAAGTCCCACGTGCCGCGCAGTGCGGCCAAGAAATTAAAAATAAATAAATAAATAATGTGCGAAAGTCATAAAAATTTTTTAAAAAAAGATTCAACTACTATTAAAAGAGTTGGTTTCCTAATTTCTTTCTCTCCACTCTGTGAGCTTCCTCTGAGCAGGGTACCACCATACACGTTGATGTTCCGATGTCCTAGCTTTGCTCTTTCACTTTTGGCAGCGAATGCCAGCATCAAGTCAAGTCCATGGATGGCGAGCTCGAAGCCTATAAGAAATCCATCATAAAGGAGGAAGAAAAGAATGAGAAGCTGGCCAGTATCCTGAACCGGGCAGAGACGGAAACCAGCCTGATGCAGAAACTGACTTTGCAGTGCCTGGCCAAGGAAGAGGCCCTGCAGAATGAGTTCAACACCTACAGGCTCACCCTGCTGGACACGGAGGACGCACTGGGCAAGGCCCACATGGTATGGTCATGTCTCCCACCTGCAGGGCAAGCCTCCCCGACCTCCTTCACAGCACCCACCCTTTGGCTCTTTCTTTCCAGGAATACACGGCAACCATAGGCCAATTGCAGACTCTCCACCAGACCATCCAGCATGAGCTGGAGCTGGGGAGGAAGATGGATGCCTCCATCGTGGAGAAGCTGCAGGAGCACGTGACCTCCAACAAGATGACAAAGTACTTCCATCAGCTCATCCTGAAGCTCCAGAAGGAAAAGACCAACCTGGTATGCCACCTGCACACACCCGGGCCTCGAAAGGCAGGTGCCCCCAGGGAGAGCAGGCATTGGGGCGCCTCTCGTGGGGAACAGACCACATGTGGCGGAATGGGCGGGAGCAAGGGGCACTCAGCATGTTCATTCACCTTTCATTTTTTTCTAGTTGAAAAGAAATGCATTTTTATTGTGGGGAACCTAGAAGTACAAAAAGGCATAAGAGGAGAATAAGACAGCTGCAGTCCCACCATCCAGAGATAATCTCTTCTAAAATTGTGGTGTATTTCCTTCTGGAAATTTTTCTAAACACACACGGTCATACTCATACACACAAAGACACACAGAAACACACGTGCATATGCACATCCCCATGTGCACATGTGAGCAAACACTTGTTCACACACACGCAAACATGCACACATTTGTGCATGTTCACATACATGAACACATGTGTGAAGACACCTATGCATACACAACCCTAGAGGACATAGGACTCTTACTATATACCAGTTTTTAATCCACTCTAATCCATTTACATTAATTTTAATGAGCTATAACACAGAGAGAAAAGTGCACAAACAAGTGTAGTTGTCAGTGAATTTTTCACTATGTATGTAATGTTTTATTTTACATTATTGGCCTCATTCAACGTAACATTTTCCATTAAATATTCTTAGAAAAAGTACATGTTCACTTATGCATCACATTTCATCCTACAAATGTATGTGTTTTGTTCAACAGTTCTCTCATTAGACACACAGGTTGTTTCTAGGTTTTAAACTTTATAAATAACTCAGCACTGAACATGCTTGCTCACACATCTTTGTCCACATGTCTGAGGATAAATTGCTGCAGCAGAAACCCTGGTCAAATTGGTAGGAGCATTTTAAGTGGATTGTGGAGTTGCCCAAGCCTCTGCCTCCCCAGGGTGTGCCTGGAGGTCCTGAGTGAATATGATTGGCCCACCTGGCCTGGGGACCCCACCCCTACCCCTGTCATGAGCTCTCTCTTGCTCCCCCAGGGGTCTTGCTTTTCTCTGAGTGGGGGGGTCCCTGTATTCTTAGAAAAGCAATTTGTTACTTAAATAATTTCTTCTTTGGCTCTTCCTGTGAGGTGACCCCCTGCCTCGGGGCTGCTGTCTATCTGGCTAGCAGCCTGAAGCACCTCACCCCTCCCAGACACCTGGGAGGAGACCAGCTCGCTCCCGGCCTGGTGTGCTAAGGAACTGGAGAGACAGGGCTGGAACCAAGACCGCCCCTGCCTGGATCTCCTTGAGATGCCCTAGCTGACGCTAGTGGAGTACTTCCAGTTCTTATTCTGGGAAGTGGGGGCAAGACTACCTGCTGGGAGCAAAAATGGGGGGGCAGTGTGTACTGGAGAAGCTATGGAGTGTGGTGGGTGTGAAGTAAACCTGCCCAGCCCTGCTGCAGCACCACAGAGGCCGGTCCCCTGGCCCCCAGGTGTCCCTCTTCCCCAGCCACCCACGTAGGCGGCACATGTACTACCACTAATGTCCACAGGAGGGCAATAAGGAGTCCAGGTCCAGCATTTGTTGCAACAGTTGGTGGGCAGCAGGTGTACTACCACCCATGTCCACAGGAAAGCAGTAGAGAGTCCTGGGCCAGTGTTCGTTGAAACTATTGGTGGGCGGCATGTGTACTACCACCGATGTCCACAGGAGGGCAGTAAAGTCCTGGTCCAGCATCTGTTGCAACAATTGGTGGGCAGCAGGTGTACTACCACCCGTGTCCACAGGAGGGCAGTAAAGAGTCTTGGGTCAGCGCTTGTTGCAATTGGTGGGTGGCACATGTCCTACCACCCATGTCCACAGGAGGGCAATAAGGAGTCCAGGTCCAGCATTTGTTGCAACAATTGGTGGGCAGCAGGTGTACTACCACCCATGTCCACAAGAGGGCAGTAGAGAGTCCTGGGCCAGTGTTCATTGAAACAATTGGTGGGCAGCAGGTGTACTACCACCCGTGTCCACAGGAGGGCAGTAAAGAGTCCTGGGTCAGCGTTTGTTGCGATTGGTGGGTGGCACATGTCCTACCACCCATGTCCACAGGAGGGCAATAAGGAGTCCTAGTCTGGCATTTGTTGCAACAGTTGGTGGACAGCAAGTGTACCACCACCCATGTCCACAGGAGGGCAGTAAAGAGTCCTGGGCCAGCATTTGTTGCAACAATTGGTGAGCAGCCCATGTACTACCACCCATGTCCACAGGAGGGCAGTAAAGAGTCCTCGGCCAGCATTTGTTACAACAATTGGTGGGCAGCCCATGTACTACCACCCATGTCCACAGGAGGGCAGTAAAGGGTCCTGGGCCAGCATTTGTTGCAACAATAGCCAGCAGATGCAAGTCCAGCTCTGGAAAGGGGGCACTTTTCCCAAACTGCTCATTACACCCCGTGGGCTGGTGGCAGACAGGGTGGGCATATCTGGGACAAGGAGCAGAGATTGTGGAGGGACAGAATCATACGCAGCTGGGTCCAGAGGGAGGGCAGGCACAGGTGAACCATGGGGCCTACACAGTTAGTTCAGGAGCAGTACTGATGTCCCAGGAGGAGGCCAGGGTGGTCTCAACAAAGGGGACAAACAGCCCGAGGGGACTGAGGGGAGGTCGGGGTGCTCTGGTTGGCCTGGTTGGTGGCTGAAAGGGGACTTAGGAGCTGAAGCCCTTCCAGGGTGGCTAGCACTGGGGTAGAGAGGAAGGCAGGGCCCCTGTGAAGACCCAGTGACCTTGGGTGGTCTTGGCAAAGAAAGGGAGGGGTGGATAGCCAGAGCTCAGAGGGGCCAGAGGGACCAAGGTGTGACCGCAAGGAGCTGGGTGACTTGAGATGCTGGCAGGGTCTGGCTTTAAACCTAGGAATGTTCTGGAAAGCCATGCACGATGGCTGGTCAGAGAGTGCATGTGTGACAGAGCCAGCTGGGGTCGTGTGGGGAGGGGCAGAGATGACCCTGGGAGACCAGGAGTTGATGGGAGCCACAGGCTGGTAGAGAGCTGAGGATTTTCGTGGGCAGGAACTAGTGGGCAGCCAACGGCGAGGGGCTGGCTAGCAAGGTCAAGGCAGAGCCACAGCTCGGGGAAAGGGGCCCTGATCCCAAAGTGAGCCCGAGCTGCCTCCCTCCCTGATTCTCACAAGTATCCTTATGATCCACCCTCCATGGTAGGAAAGAGTGGAGCAAATCTGTCTTCGGAAGCCAACAGAGGAGGCAGGGTGGGCTGGCCCAGCCTTCAGGACAGTGGCAGCCCTGCGGAGCCCTGGGCACTTCTGCCCCGGGCTGAAGCTCCCACCCGCAGAACCAAGGTTGGCGAGAGCCCCAGTACAGTACAATCTGTTCTCTTAAGGACTGTGTCCAGCTTTTCCAGTGAAATGTAAGGACATTTGTCCCATCAAATAGAAATTAGAAGTTGGTGTTTGTCACAGCATCATTTAGAGTTGGAATGTTGATAAGAGATTGACAAGCTCAAAGAAGGCAGGCACCTTGGTATTCCTCACCAAAACACATGAGCTGTCAAGAGCAGTGCCCCATGATCATTGTGGAACAGATGACATTCCCAGGGACAGCTGTGACTTGCTTCCTAATCTCTGTTACAAATATGACCGAGTATTACACAGCTATTAAAAATGACATGACATGAAAGTTGTCAAATTGCAAAGTGGCTAACAAACCTATATGTAGAGTGTGATCCTGTTTTTCTTTTGGTGGGGGGGCAAAGCGGTTTATATACAAAGTCAGGAAGGCAGGATAGATTCTAAATAGTGATGCTGGCTAACTGTGTGGCAGATTTATGGGTGATCATCTGTATTTTCACATTTCCCCATTTCAATGCACGTTACTGTTTGTTTGATAAGAAGAGACAATAATGTTAGCTTTCTTTTTCTGTGAGAAATCATTAGGGTTCCAACAAGTAGGTCCTTTGACAGGTCATGAGGTGGAGAGAAAGCCAACATCCTCCTCTCCTGATTATGTTTTGGAATTTCTCCAGATGAATACCTGGATGATCAAGGAAACAAGAAGCCAACCAGCTCATTTGGAGCCTCCCAGAGAGAGAAAAAAAGTTCAGACATGTTTCCTTCTGCTAATTCAGGTGACACATCATTCCAAAATTGATGGTGACATTGCTCAGACCACCCTGGACATCACGAACACCAGCTGCAGGCTGGACATGCATCAGAAGACACTGGCTGAGCTGGACAAGGAAGTGAAAAAAGTCAACGACCTCATCACAAACAGTGAAAATGAAATCTCCAGGCGCACAGTCCTGGTTGAGAGAAAGCAAGGCCTCATCAGCTCTTTGGACAAGCAGCTGGAGCACATGATCTCTGAACTCGGGGTAAGACCCCGGGGCCGGGAGGCTGCTCGGGTTGATGTCCATGCCTGGCCATTTCAGGAACTTCTGATTTTCAGAAACGAACTCACGTAGGACACACGCGTTCCTGTCCCGCCAATCATACAGGTGAAGCACACGTGTCTGTGCCAAGTGCTCTGACTCAGGGGCTGTCTGCAGACCTCTGCTGGGCCAGATAGTATTTCAGGTGTTACAGGCCAGATGGTCTCTGTTGCAATCCCCCACCCCAGCGGCTATGAGGAGGCACAGGCAGTACGTAAACAGACGGGTGTGGCCGTGTGCAGTAAAACCTTACTTAGGGCCCCTGAAGTTTGAATTCCATATAACTTCCGCCTGGCACAAAATTCTCTTCTGATTTTTTGTGCGGCCCACGGGCTATGCGAAGATAGGCAGCAGGCGGGATCTCAGCCACTGACTGCAGCTCTAAGTGAAGTGGTCTGATGAGTCTGGGGCTTGAAGTCCTACAGGTTTTCCAGGTATCGCTGACCTGAGGAGCCCACCAACAGCTTCAAGTCCCAGAACAGGATGGGCAGCTGGGGGCGCATTCTTAGGTAGACCTCGACACCAGAGTGCGGTGTCAGAGCTGCAACCTGCGTGGATTCCAAGGGAGTAAAGACCCTAACCCATGACAGTGTGCTGTTAAAAGACAATTTGCAAAGCCCCTTTGGGTGACAGAGGCCCTGCTGCCCCTGCCCCAAGACTGGGGCATGGTGGGGCCCGGCCAGTGGAGGGAGGGGAAGGGGTCACAGACCCCCAGACCCATATCTCCCACAGCAGGTCAGTCCATATGGCCTGGGCCCTCAGGGGAAGGGACCCAATGACAGGGTCCCTGGTCCCTCTGAGTAAAGATCCCCTACTCGTCGTACAGACACATGATCTCAGGGGTCCCCACCCTCGGCAGCCCACCCCGGTTTAGAGGCTCATTCTTCTTTCTGGTGAACATCACTTTCAGGGGGAAGAAGTGGGGCCCCTGGAGCTGGAGATCAAGAGGCTGGCCAAGCTGGCCGAGGAGCACAACGCCGGCGTGGCGCAGGCCCGGGCGGCCTGGCTCCGGCTGCAACAGGAGATGGTGGCGGCCACGCAGGGGCGCGAGGAGCACCTGGCCTCCCTGGACATGTCCGTGAAGGAGATCCACATCCTGGAGCAGAAGAAACTACGGATAGAAAGTGAGCTCCCCTGCCCAGCCCCGCTCCACAGCACCTGCTGTGGTGTCCCGGTCCCACCTGGTCCCACCTGGTCAGCCCAGCCCTGCAGCCCCACAGGAAGTGCTGTCTGGTGTCCAGGGCCCACTCGGCCTGAACACATCATGCCCATTTCTTCCCGGAGGTCCTGCCGCCTGCTTGTCCTGCCCTTGGGCCACCCAAACCCCCCTGTTGGTGGTCAGGGTCGTTGCTTTCCGGCCCTGCCCCTGAGCTTGGCTGGTCTTTCCTAGGGGCTTGGTGTCTGAGCACCAACCCTGTCCCCTTCGGCCCCCTCTGGCTGGGCGGGGGTGCCCGAAGGTCGGCGGGGCCGGGGGGCACTCTGGGCACAGACCCAGATCACAACCCCCAGGGGCCACCCCCGACCCCCGGCCGCCCTCCCCACAGACAAGATCGACCAGGAGAAGAAAGAGCAGAAGCAGATCAAGCAGCACATGAGGGACCTGGACAATGACCTGAAGAAGCTCAACGTGCTGATGAACCAGAACCGATGCAGCTCCGAGGAGCTGCAGCAGGGCAACCTGGCCACCGAGGGCGAGTTCGTGCGTGCGCTCAAGGTGGGCTCCACCTTGAGCTCCCGCCCGTGGTGGGCAGGCAGGGGGCGAGGCGGGGGAACAGGTGTGCGCCTGCCCTCAGCCCCACCCTCAGCCGCCCCCTCCCCATGCAGGCCTCGGAGCGAGAGACCATCGAAATGCAGGAGAAGCTGAACGAGCTCAGGGAGGAGAAGGCGGCCGTGCTCAACAGCCTGGTGGAGGCGGAGTGAGTGCCGGGCACGTCCCGTCCCAGGGTTGCTGCCCCGCGGAGCTGTGGGAGGCCACTGTCCACGTAAACCGGCCCGGGAGGTGGGGGCGGCTCTGGAACCCGAGGGGGATCCTGGGGAAGAGTGGGGTTCTTGTCTCCTGAGCTCGGGGCAGCCCTCCCACCAAACCCATGATCGTGGTGGCTGAAAATAGAGTGGCTTCCTTTGGGACAGACTTTATAAAAACTGTATGATCTTTCTGGTGCCTGATTGTAAGAGTAATCCAGACCCAACAGTAAGCATTTTAAACTGTAACAGTGTGTGCAGAGTAGAAAGGAGACTCACACTTAATCCCACCCTCTTCCTTTACCATTTTCTCTGTGTATTTCTTTCATTTTTTTTTTAACAAAAATGAGATTGCTCTCTATGTCCCCCTTTGAAGTAACCTTATATTTTTCTGTGATGTCCTTCCTCATTGGTGCACGTAGATCTGTATCTCCAGTTGCAAGGGCTCTTGAGCGGGTACTGTATGCAGGCACCCTGATTGGTGCCATGTGATTGCCAAGGGGCTGAGTGGCAAAGGGATCATCCCCTCCCTGTGGTTTGACAGAATCTACACATAACACCACCTGGAGCTTGCAGAGGATCTTAGTCCCTCCAGGCTGCTACAACGGAACACCACAGACTGGGGCTTATAAACAATAAACAGGAATTTATTGCTCACAGTTCTGGAGGCTGGAAGTCCGAGATCAGGGTGCCTATATGGTTGGGTGAGGGCTCTCTTCTGGGTTGCAGACTCCTTGCTGTGTCCTCACAGGGTGGCAGGAGAGGGGGAGATCTGTGGGGTCTCTTTTATGAGGGCACTAATCCCATTCATGGGGGTTCCACCCTCATGACCTCATCACCATCCCAAGACTTGGCATAAGGATTCCAACATGTGGATTTGGGGGCGGGGGGACACAAACATTCAGACCACAGGGGGTGGGGGGGCATGTGTCTTTGCTAACATTTTAATAGCTTTCAGGCTCTTGGTCTATCTAGGCTTTTGACTTCTTCTTATATCAAATTCTATCACTTATATTTGCTTTTCTCAGTTTCTCCTAAAGTTACATATCTGTTTTCTCCTCTGCCCCAGCCCCCTGCCCCGGCCCCCCAGTGAGGGTGGTGGGCACTGGGGTTGAGTTCACCTTCTGGTCCCAGAATGGTAACATTTGTTTCTATTTAAACCCTTGCCTGGGTGCCTGCAAATTAACCAGGCCACCTGCTAGGTGAGGGCGCCCCTCATGGACGGGAAGGCGAGGGTCTCCCGTAGCCCATTACAGACATTGCTCCTTGTGCTCGGTGCCCACCCCAAGCACAGCACGCAGCGCTCACCAAAGCATCAGAAAGAAAGCCCCTTCGTTCTCCAGCTCTTACACTGCCTCTCCTTCCCTTAAAGACACCAGATCATGCTTTGGGACAAAAAAATCCAACTGGCAAAAGAGATGCGCGCCTCAGTGGATTCCGAGACGGGCCAGACAGAGATCCGGGCCATGAAGGCCGAGATCCACAGGATGAAGGTGGGTGGGAGGAGGGAGGTGTGGGGAGCTTGGGAGCTCGGGGTCCTGGGAGGAAACCACTCCAGCACAGCGGCCTGCAGCCCAAGCACAAGGAAACTTGCTGTTCCCTTTGCTGACCTCCTGTATCAGGGCCTGTCCAATTCTTGTTCTTACTGCACCGAAAGGGCTACAGGACACACAGCTGTCTGCACAGTATTCATGAACTATTTTACCCTCACTCTGTACAAGCAATGCACTCCAGTATTTTTAAACGCTGGCTGTGACCCCCGCCCCCCACCAATCTCACGACCCATTTGTGAGATGTATCCCACTGTTGGACCAGAAAGACTCTCACTCAGTAACAGGGTTCAAGGAACACACCCACCTTTTCATTCCGAGCCATGTTTTCTCTCTACTGTCATCTTTAGCTGGATTTCATTCCCTTGAGAAAAGGCTGGTAATTAAATCACAGGCTGTCACTGAGCCAAAGGTTCAGGGCCTTAAGGATACAAATGAGAGCAGGTAATAAAAACAAATGTGGCATCACTTTTATAATTACGTGGCTGATAATAACCCCGCTAGCTATTGAGCCCAGAGGAACTCTGATCAAATGCATCTACTGCCGCTAAGTTTTAGAAAACCACTCCATCTAACGGACTTTTCAAACCGCAGAAGTGGCAGCAGGTCAGACCCTCCACCACAGAGCTTACAGCCACACAGGCATGTGCACACACACACATGGACGGACGGGGCTACCGCCCCCTTGCCCCCTAGTTGTGGTTTTGTTTTGTTTTGTTTTCCGTAACAAAAATAGTACATATAATTCAGCAACTTATTTTTTAAAAAATAATCCAGACATTCTCTTTCTTTAACAGTTGCAGAATATACTATGGATATAACATAATTTAATGAAACATTCCTAGGTTGATGTGAAGATTCAGAATGTTTCCAGTTTGTTGTTTTGTCACTAAAACAATTGTTACAATGATATCCTTGTGGAAATCAGTGACCATATTTGTTTTCATGGGTCTGTTTCTGGGCCCTCTGCTGTGTCCACTGATCCAAGAGCCCAAATCCACACGGTCTTGATTTCTGTGGCTCTGTCCAATGTGATTCCTCCAGCACTGTTCTTTTTTACAAAATTGTCTTGTCCATTCAATATCTTTTGCCTTTCCAAAAACATTGACAATCAGCCTGTCAATTTCCTGCGTGGATCATGGTTGGGATTTGAGGCTACAGATCAATTTAGAGAGAATTGACACCTTAGCATTGATGAGTTTTCCAGTCCATGAGCAGGTGTATCTGTCTCTCCATTTACTTGGTCTTGTTTGATTTCCCTTGTTAGTGTTTTTGTCTTCGGCATTCGGGTTTTGCATATGTTTTGTTAGATTTATACCTAAGTGTTTCGTGTTTTCTGGTGCTGTTGTAAATGGTACTTTCTAAAATTTTCAAATTCCAGTTTCTCATTGTTAAGGTACAGAAATACAATGGACTTCTTTTGTGTGTGTGTGGTACGCGGGCCTCTCACTGTTGTGGCCTCTCCCGTTGCGGAGCACAGGCTCCGGACGCACAGGCTCAGCGGCCATGGCTCATGGGCGCAGCAGCTCCGCGGCATGTGGGATCTTCCCGGACCGGGGCACGAACCCGTGTCCCCTGCATTGACAGGCGGACTCTCAACCACTGTGCCACCAGGGAAGCCCCTACAACGGACTTTTTTACATTGACTTTGTTCCTGTGATTTTGCTAAACTCACTCATTTGTTTATCGGTCTATAATATTTGACAACCCACTGCATGAAAAGGGGTTTCTCAGTGGATTTGCGTTGCTGGTTTACACGTGGGGGATTGAGCACACGCGTGTGCCGGTGTGTATATTTATGTGTGTGTTTTGGCGTTTCCTCCTTGGGAGGTTGCCTGTTTATATCTTTGCCTGATTTTCCTGTTTCTTATTTCTTAGCAATTTTTAGGACCTCCTTGTATATTGGGGTTAATAACCCCTGTCTTTAATACCTATTCTAAACGTTACCTCTGGTCTACTGCTTGCCTTTACACATTTTTTTTTATGGTCTCTTTCCGCTCAGAATGTGTTTAGTGTTTAGTTGTGTATCTGTCTTTTCCTGTATGGCTCCTGGGTCTCCGGTACTGTTAAGAAGGTTCCCCAGGTTGAGGTTACACAAACAGATTCCTGAGCTTTGTCAATTGTTTGCACATACTTAGATCTTGAATCCACCTGGAATTTATTTGGGGATATGTTGTGAATAGGGGTCCATCTGTATTTTCCCTCTGCTGGGGAGTGAGTTATGCCAGCAGCATGTATCAGATGATCTGTGCTTCTCTCACTGATCTGAACGGCCACGTTGATCACATGGATGGAGATGAGGATGCCATCCTTGTCCTGCATCTCTGCTCTGCTGTGACAGTTATTTTGACGGGCTCGTGCCAGCGCAGAGCATTTGGTTACTGTCACCCTTGCTCTGTTTTAACCTCGTGGTCTAGGCCTCCCACCACCACTCCTAACTTAACTTGGGGATTCCTGCCTGTCTATCCTTTTGTTATTTTGAATCAACTTTATTGAGGAATAATTTACATGCAGTAACATGAACTTATTTTAAACGTCCAGTGCACACGTATGCAGCCACCACCCCATGGAGACGCAGAGCATGTCCACCCCTGCAGAAAGCTCCCTGGAGCCCCTCGCAGCCCAGCTCCCACCACGACCCAGCCCCCAGCCCCAGGCCCTATAGGCCCTACACACCACCATCTCACAAAACCATGGTGCGTTTTTCCTAATGAGGAAATTAAACTTGGTGCAATACAGTTAACCAAACTACAAATTCTAACCAGAGTTCACCGTTTTTTTTGGCTAATGTCCTTCTTCTGCTCCAGGACTCATCCCTGGGCCACATCTAGTCCTCATGTCGCCCCACCTTCCCCGGTCTCTGACGGTTTCTCAGTGTTGCCCTGTTTGCCTGGTGTTCTTTACATGGACCTTAAATCGCTCTGACCGGCTGACTAAGCCCCCAGGTTCCTTTCTCCCCTGGGGACATCACCCCTGTGGGTTCCCTGATGGTTCAGTTGGATGTGGTGGGAGGTCCCTCTGCTCTGTGCGCCCAGGTCAAGCACGGCCAACTGCTGAAGCAGCAGGAGAAGATGATCCAGGACATGGAGCTGGCTGTCGCACGCAGAGAGACCATCTCCACTCGGGCCGAGGGGCAGTGCAAGATGGACAAGAAGCTGCTCACCCGCACAGACTTCCACCGCAAGCAGACCGAGCTGAGACGGAAGATCAGGGACATTCACAAGGTAGGGGAGCCGAGCGACTGGGAAGGGACCACGCTGCGGACCACCTGTCCACAGGTGGTCAGCCTGTGTCACCAGCCCCGCTGGCAGGCATGCAGGCATCACTGGCCAGGGCCATATTTCTGATGTACTTTCCCCAGCTTGGGCTGCGATTTCACTCTGTCCTTCCTGCCTGCTTCTCGGCCGGCCCCTGCCTGCTTCTCGGCCGGTCCCTCCCTGCCCCACCTGCCTCACCGCCTCTTCTTCTGCCCTTCATTCCCAGAGCTATGGTCACAGCTGCTGTGTCAGGGCTGTTTTAGGAGACAGAGAAGTGACAGTGGGGGCTGGGGGTGATGGGAGGAGCTCGGGTGCAGAATCAGACAAGCTGCTTTCTTCTGTGCTGGGGACAAAAGCCTGAGCCTCACAGCAGGCTCTGGTGCTGTGCTGGTTCTGGGTCAAGATACAGTGGGTGTCAGATCAGTAGGTGCTTCCCGAGTGCCCCTAACGTCCTGCTCTGATTGGGGCTTTCTTTGGGAGTTTGTCTTGGGTTTAACAGAAGATCTGTATAGGGAGGGTGCAGCTCAGGACTGGAGGCGGCCCTATTTCTGCCCCTTTCTGCCTAACAGAGATGGCATCAGGGAAGTATGGAGTGCTGGTGAAGGGCACGAGTCCCTGTGTCACTGACCCCAAGTGGGTGGTGGGGATGGGCCAGCGGGTACGTGGAGGGCACCCACTCGAGCCCATGTCCCCGTCCACCAGTCCACATCGACTGAGCATGTGGTGTGTGCCTTGCCCTGAGAAGGGACCAGCTGTATGGCCCAAGTGCCCCCTCCTTTTGTGATCACCAGGCTGGGCTGTGGGCTCAGACTTCCCTCAGCCCCTGCTGACCAGCTGTGTGGCCTCAGTGCGTATAGAAACCTTCCACGCCTGAATTTCCTCGTCTGCCAGTGGAGATAGGAGCAGTGGCCCCTCCCTGAGAGGCGAGGGTTACATGAGACAGAAAGCGGCCTCGGAGCCCCACCGTGGGTCCCAGCCCCTCCGTGGGTCCCAGCCCTGCTCTTCCACTCATGGCTCAGGCACGTTGTCTGACCTCTCTGTGCCTCTGTTTACTGACCTGTGAAATGGGTCCTCACCTCATGGCATCACACAGAGGACTGAATGGAGAATGTTGGAATAGCCCCTGTAGGGGGAGTCCTGTATGAGGGAAGGTAGCTGAAAATGACAGACTTGATCCCAACTGCTCATTTGGATGTTACTGGAGGCGCAGAGGGGCCTTTTCCGGGCCTGGTTTGTGCATTTCTCTGCCACGTTGGCCACTCCTGGTGTCCATCCCTCTCAACACCTCGTGGCTCCCCAGGGGTCTCCTCTGCCCAGCTTGGTGACGGACTCCTCTCCGCCCCACCCCACAGAGGGTCTGGCCAGGGATCCCTTGCTGGCCTCCCCACCCCCAATACTCTCCTGCACCCCTTTTTTGGGAATCCTCCTGGATCATGTGCATAGAGGGTCCTGGGGTCCTCCCAGCCTGACTCTGCTCTGTCGGCTGAATAACCGGTGGGCAGGGTCCCAGGATGCTCCTGTCTAACCCCCCCAGGCCACCGAGGAGTGCACCCAAACCATCCTAGAACTGGAAGAAACTCAAAAATCCGTGAGCGACTCCCTCCTGGAGAAACAGGAGCAGCTGTCAAGGATGCAGGCCAAGGCCGACGAGCTCGAAGCTGACCTGTACCAGCTGGCAGCCCTCAAGCGACAGGTACACAAGTCCCCAGGGCCACCAGGGCCATAGGAACCCAGCAGCAAGGCCCGTTCCGGCCCAGCTAAGCCCAGGCTGATCACAGCTGAGGTGCTGTCATCCACCTCATGTTTCCCATGAAGTCTCCATGGGCCGGCACTGTCCTGGGTGCCAGGGCAGCAGACTAGAATAGAAAAGGTGACAATCCCTGCCCTCCTTCTGAGGGCGGGAGGGCAGGTGAGAAACAAAACGAATAAGAAAAAAGATACCATATATCTGATGGTGATATAGATACTCCGGAGAAACAGGGGGCAGAGAAGGAGCATCGGGTGGGTGGGGGCTGCACTTGTAAGTAGGGTGGTCTGAGACGGCCACACAGGGGAAGTGACACTGGAGTCAAGACTTGCAGGGAGCGAGGGAGCGAGCACCCCCAGGTACAGCAGGAGCTGGAGACTGCTGGGGCCCCTGGGCTTGCACTGCTTGGGGGTGCACCACCATGGCCAGGGGCTTCTCCCTCAGGGAGGGGGTTGGGGGGGGAGGAGTAACTTGGGGTTATCAGGATCGCTCGGCTCTCATGTTGAGTGTGGAATGGGAGGGCCAAGAGTGGACACGGGAACCTGTTTGAGGCCATGATGGTAATTAAGGAGGATGGGGACGCACGGAACACAGCACGGAACGCGGGTAGCCTGGGGCTAGTGCAAAGCCGTCAGATTCTGCGTATAATTTCAAAGTCGCCCCAGTGGGATTTCCTGCTGGATTGGATGTGGTGGTGTGAGCAGAAGAGAGGGGTCAAGCAGGGCTGCAGGGTTTGGGGCCTGACCAGCTGAGATGGGAGTGGTGGGCGCCGGGCCTGGCCCCTGGCAGGTTGGATGGCGGGGGAGGGAGCGTCCAGGCTCCACCCCGTGCATGTCAGCCTTTTTGCCTGGAGCTGGAGACTCAGCACCCTCAGCTGTTCATTCCTGCAAAGTTCTCCTCTGGCATGTCCTTGAGTTGGAGCTCGTGTCAGCCCAGAGGGTGTCCTCTTTTTAACGTGCGTAGCCTGACACAGGGTCTCTTGTCCCACCCAAGAACCTTTCCACGCTCGTGGCCCTGCAGTCACGCCTCAAGCACCTGCAGGCCGTGAAGGACGGGCGCTACATCTTCCTGCTCCGCAATAAGCAGTCACTGCTGGCAGAGCTCAAGCGGCTGGATGACCGCCTGGCCAGCATCAGCACCATCCTCCACCACGTGAAGGACGAGTACCCCCAGTTCCAGGAGGCCCTGCTCAAGGTCAGCCGGTCCATCAGCAACAGGCTGGAGTCATCCGGGCCCTAGAGCGCCCACCCCAAGGAGGAGATCAGTTTTGTGTATCATCAGGGGCTTCAAATCTTTCTACCCTCAGAGACACCAGTTAAGAGAAACAGACAGGCCAGCATTGTAGGAATGGGTTTTTTTTAGCCACCCAGCAGTTTAAACCAAGTCAAATGTCAGCGTTTCCAGTTGCATTTCGGTGAGTCTTCCGCTTGCAAAGGCAGTGTCAGTGAACACGAACCCATATTCCCACATTGGGCTTACTCCTCCAAGTAAAATTGGAAACCCAGGTCTCTGCTCCTGCCCCCACTCCCAGCTTGGGTTAAATCCAGATTCCCATCTTACACGAGCAAGTCCAGGGGGACCCTGGCTGCATCTGGAAGCCTAATGCCTGAGATAAGACCACACAGGTGCATGAACACAGACCTCCTTGTCTGCCCACTTGTCCTGCCCTCTCCTCCAGCCAGGGCTCCTCCCCCCACACTCTGATTCCTGAGCCCCTGCTACCTATGCCTTCTCTGCAGTTTAAAGGGAAAATGTTCTACAAAGTAATTTTAAACTTTCAGCAGAAAAATAAAACTATTTTTCTGAATATGAGAGAAAATCGTATTTATTCTAAAACATTTCAGAAATGCAAAACCCACAAAGAAGCGAGGAGGCCCTCAATCCTGCTCTGACACCGCTGCACCGGGCTTTCTGTGCCTGGTTCCACCTGACAAGGCCACAGGGTCCGGCTTCTGTATGTCATTTTGGAAAGCTTTCTCCTTTTTTTTCTTCCTTTTAATTTTTATTGGAGTATGATTGCCTTACGATGTTGTGTTAGTTTCTTGCTGTACAAGCTTGCCTCTTTTTTTTTTTTAAGCTTGCTCGCCTTAACATGAGACTTTGTGTACGAAAAGTTCCTTGTCATTGAACATTTTCATGACAGTCGATTTTATGGGTTATGACAATGTTTTCCTTTTCAGAAGAACTTTAAGTTGCTTTCAAATTTTCGCTATTTTGTCGTCTGGGTGCTAGATTCGCAGAGCCGTGCCTCGGCGGGCGGCCTGGCGGGCTCCAGGATGCTGAGGGTTCGCTCATGCGGGGGCGTAGCGCCCTCTGCGACCCCGAAAGACGAGGCCCCGCCTCTCCCCCAGAGCTCTCCCCTGCAAGGTGCGCGCCCCCTGAGCCCCTCCCACGTTCCGGGGACGCCGAGGCCCAAGGAGGGCGAGGACGCCACCAAGCGCCCCGCCACCAGAGGGCGCATCCCTGAGGCGAGCACTCACTAAGGGCGCCTGCGCAGGGGGCTGTCACGTGACCCGCCGCCGCTGCTCTGGTGCGCGCTGGATCCTGAAGTTGCTGCTACGGGCCGGGCGTGCGTGCGCGGAGGTGAGCCGACCTGACTGCTGGACCCGGGCTGCAGTGGTCCCAGCGAACGGCGGGGCAGGGGAGGTCCGCGGCAACCCCACAGAGTGGAGGCTTGGCGGGTGCGGGCAGTCGTGACGCCCGAAATGGGAGGGGTCGATCGATAGAGGGATTGGTCAGTGCTTTCCTACTGGAGAAGTTGAGCACACCGTGCCAGGGCCGCGCGCGGCAGGAGGCAGCAGTAACGACAGTGACCCCAGTAACATGGGGGACCCCGGAAACTCCACGGTTCCCACTCACTGCCCCCGAGCTGGGCGAGGAAGGCTGCGCTTGACCCCGTTCACAGGGAGGAAGCTGAGGCACAGGAGGTTGAGAACCCTTTACTTCCCTCTGCCGGTGGTGGAGCTGGGCTTTGAACCCAGCTTGTCTACACCACCACCGTGGCCTGGGGAAGCAGCAGTTCCGAGACACTTACCTGAAGGCGGGGTGACCGGCCCACTGGGTCAGCAGTGCCACTTGATCTACTGACCTTCAGTTCTTCCCCGTTTTCTCTCTAAATTGTCAAGCGCTGTGAGTGTGGCTCTTCCCCATTTTAGGATCTCTTCCCCTTTCTAGGCTCTCTTCCCTGTCTGTAAACTGGAAGCAGGGAAGGGCATGGTGTGCTGCCCTGGCCGTGCTTCTGGACACCTCTGCAGCTTCTGAAGTCTGGGTGGGAAGGGCTGAGGTCATTGCCCAAGAGCTCCCAAGTGAGGACCCCTGGACTCCACTCTGAGTTCCTTAGTTTCTGAGTCATTATGATCACAAATGTGTCTGGCAGGGTCAGGTGAAGCTGGGACACTCTGTGGTATAAAAAAAGAGATATTAGTCTTTGTCTCCAGTTCCTGGCACACAACTTCTAAAAACCCTGGAATCTTGGGGGTGGTAAGAGTGTCTTTTATATGCTAGTGAGATGACTGGGCGCTTGTAGATAGCTTCACAATGCGGGCTAGTCCCCAGAAGGACCAAGGCAGGATTCGAGGGTGGGAACTTTCTCCTGGGCTTCCTCTGGGCAGGAAGCTCTTGATTAAGAGAGGGGGCTGGTGATTAAGTTAGTCACCAGCACTCAGTGATTTCATCATTCATGCCCTACATAATGAAATCCTAAACTAGTTGGGGTTCGGAGAGCTTCCAAGCTTGTGAACACATTTTGGTGCTCAGAGGGTGGCCAGCCCAGAGAGGGCATAGAAGCTCAGCACCCCTTCCCCATACCTTGCCCTCTGGTTGTTCCTGAGTTGTATCCTTTATAATAAACAGGTAACAGTAAGTGAGTTCTGTGGGTTGTTCTAGCCAGTTGTTGAACCTGAGGAGGTGAGGGGTGCTGTGTGAACCCCGGAATTGACAGTGGCTTGGTCAGAAGAGCCGGTGACAACCTGGGACTTGTGGTTAGTGTCAGAAGTGGGGGACGTCTTGTGGGACTGAGCCCGCAACCTGTGGGGTCTGCGCTAACTCTGGGAGTTCGTGTCAGAATTGAATTGAATTGCTGGACGCCCGGCTGGTATCCAGAGGATGGGAGAATTGGTCGGTGAGAAAAAGCTCCACGCTTTTGGTGTCATGAGTGTTGTCAATGAAAACAGTTCACTCTTGCATCTAACGTACTGGTGACCCACGGTGGCCAGAATGTTCCAGGTGACCGGTCTGTGTCTGTGACAGGCTTGGACTCTGTCAGTGACCTGGGCGCACTTCTGCCTGGCGTGTGACTTTTCCCCAACACCTGCATGTTTCTGGAGGCCATGAGAATGCAGCTCACAGGCCTCCCACCACAGGGAGCTTCACTGACAGAGGCTCAGCCGCCGTGCTCTGAAATCATCGCTGCATCTCCTGCGAGGGGCTGCCTCCCGGCCCTTAATGCTAGGGCAGGCCGCTTCTGGGAGACCTGGACCCCTCTAATGGCCAACTTTGGCTCAAGGAACCCCAACCCTATGGCCTTGCCCAAGCTTCCCTAACCTACATGGCAGTCTGGGGCTCTTGAATCCACACCGCCCTCCCATGGGGTCAGACCTGCACGGGTGTGTTGGTGCTCTCAACCCTCTCTGGCAACCTCCCCAGTTTCTCTCAGACAGATAAAAAGGACCCCCCTAATAAAACCCTTGCATATTTAGTCCCATATCAGTGTCTGCTGCTCCTTGGAGGAGCTGGACCAGCAATGTTCCCTATAAAATATTTAGAACATACAGATAATCAAGACACAGGTAAGAACAGTCTTAGTACCAAAGTAACCAGAGTGAGGCTCCAGTGCAGCTGCTGTGACGGAGACCCAGAACCAGACCCCACACGAGCCTGACTGCAGGGGCGGGGAGGGGCTCCGCCTGCCCAGTCCTGGGGGCCAGGCTTTTTCTTCTGTGCTTGGCTGTCCCTGAGTGTTGACCTGGGCTGCAGTGCCCAAGACCCCTCACAGGCTGTATCCACGTCCTGGTCAGCCCAAGAGGGACGGAAGGAGGGAACACTTCCACCCCACTGGCCAAGACTCACTTCGGCCAGTCTTCATACGGGAGCGGGACTTATCTACTGTGGGAACTTGTTTGTTCCACTTGACCTATCACGTGGTTCTTTGTGTGTTTAAGTTATTTTTACAGACATTCTAGATGCGTTTATTTGTAACATATTAGAAGACTTCACAATGCACAGGATTCTGCAACTCCCTGTTTGGGACTTTTCTCTCCTTTTCCTTTTTCCTCCCTCCCCCAGGTCTGCCCTGCTTCCTCACCAGACCTCACTTCTAGCCTGTGCACTGCTGGGCGGCCACAAGTTCCTGTCTGGAAGCTGCTTTGAGAGTCTCCTGAGGCCCCGGCCACTCCCTGCTGCATCCCTTTGAGCCTGGTTCTTCTGTCTGCAGGCCTCCTGGGCCCGCTGCCCACACATGATGAGGTGGCCACCCTGTTCCTGCCCCTTGCTGGGGGTCTGCGCCCTAGTCTCCTTGGCCATCCTGGGGCACATCCTGCTTCATGACTTCGACGTGGTCCCCCAAGAGCTGCACAGCTTCTCCCAAGAGGAGATTTACCCAGCTCGCCAGCCCAGAGCCAGCGGCCAAGGGCCCCAGCCTGTCCCAGGGCGCCACGGCAGTCCCAGGGAAGCACCCACACAGTGCAACCTGCCCCCCGACGGCCGCTTCGACTGCGCCCCAGACAAGGCCATCACCCAGGAGCAGTGTGAGGCCCGGGGCTGCTGCTACATACCTGCAAGGTGGCCTCCGGGCACCCAGATGGGGCAGCCCTGGTGCTTCTTCCCTCCCAACTATCCCAGTTACAGGCTGGAGAACCTGACCACCACCAAGACGGGCTACACGGCCACCCTGATCCGTGCCACCCCGACCTTCTTCCCCAAGGACATCATGACCTTGCGGCTGGACGTGCTGGTGGAGACTGAGAGCCGGCTCCACTTCACGGTGGGCGGGCGGGGGCTGGGCAGGGGCAGAGAGTGTGTGGACAGTGGATAAAGACAGACTCTACGGGGTGTTTGTTTGTGCACAGACGTGTATTATGCCCTCACCTGGAGTCTGGGTGTGAGCAGACACAGTGCCTACGCTCAGGGAACAGTGGACCGCTAAGACAGTCACTAGGAGGTTCTACAACATGTTCTAGGGGACAGGGCTCAGGGCAAGGTGGTGGGAGGTTAGGTCGCCCCCAGGAAGTGACATCCCAGCTGGGACATAAAGTAGGAGTCAGGAAGGGGAAAGGTGGAGAGGGAGGAAGGGGGGCTGTTCCAGGCAGTGGGCAGTGGGATCCCAGCCACTGAGGGCAGGGCCTCTTGTCTGGTTTATTCCCTGCTGCTTCCCAGCCCCTGGAACAGTGCCTGGCACATAGCAGGTGCTCAGTAAAAAGTTGTCAACTGAATGAATGTGCAGACACAAAGGTGAGAGAGCCTGAAGCACATAATTCAGTATGGCCCTGTTATTTTCACAAAGTAACTGATGACAGCCGTGGATTACTGAGTGATGACTATGTACCAGACAAGGGCTGGGTGTTCTAATTATGTTTTCTCGTTCACCCTGTGACTAGATATGCCAGGTGGAAAAACGTTGCCAGATTCAGCAAATAAAAATACAAATATGAATTTCAGATAACCCAGGAATTAGTCTTTTTTTTTAGTGTAAGCATGTCCCGTGCAATATCTGAGATGTATTTATACTAAAAAAATTGTTTATCTGAAATCCAGATTTCCTGTGTCTTACCTGGCACACCCCACAGGAGGTGCTCTCCTGGCTCTATAGACGAGGAAACAGGCTTAGGTATGTGGACCAATCTGTCCACACGCCCACGCTGTGTGCGGCCACCCTGAGACTTGAACTGACGCCTCGCTTCTCTGGAAGGTGAAGGATGGAGTGGACAGGTGTGCAGGGGCAGCCAGCCACCAAGGGCCTCATGACACCGCTCTCGTCCTCTAGATCAAAGATCCCACCAACCAGCGCTATGAGGTGCCCTTGGAGACCCCACGTGTCCGCAGCCAGGCGCCGTCCACGCTCTACAGCGTGGAGTTCTCAGAGGAGCCCTTCGGGGTGATCATGCGGCGGAAGCTGGATGGACGGGTGCTGTGAGTGCCCAGTTTCTGTGCCCATTATCTGCTGGGAGGGTTAGGGAGCTGTAGGGCATCGTCCCTGACCCTCTTGTGGTCCACCCTCCTGCTCTGGCCTCCTGGCTGTTCCTTGCCCCGCAGAGCCCTGGTGCTTACTGCTCCCTCCACCCTGAGCCCTCAAAGGCCCGTCCTCAGAAGGGACATTTGGCAACAGCTGGAGACATTTTTGGTTGTCACCACTGGGCGTTAGGGTGCAGGGATACTGCTAAACACCCTACAATGCACAGGCCGGCCCAGAACACGGAGCGATCGGCCCAAGTGTCAGTAGTGCCTCAGCTGAGAAACCCTGGTCCAGTCTAAAGTGGCAACCCCACTCCAGGCAGCACCCCCAAGCCTGCTTTATTCTTGTTTATTTATCACATACTACACATCAGTATATCAGGCATTGCAGTGATTAACTCGTCCAATCCTCATAACAACTGGGACGTAGGTGCTGTTATTATCCCCACTTTACAGATGGGGAGACAGACATAGAGAGGCCAGGTGCTTGCTGGCAGGTGACGGAGCCCAGCCCAAGCGTCCGTGCTGTCGGCCACTCTGCTCCATGTCCCTCCGGGGTTTGTGTGCCCCCACGGGACCTTACCTTTGCTTGGACCATGGCTGCCATCTGCCTGAGGCAGGAGCCTTTCCTGTTCCCTCCTGAACCGCCAGCTCCTAGAGCAGTTCTGACCCACAGCAGAGCTCAGGGGTATTTGTGGAGAGGATAAGGGTGTTGCTTGGTCTCGCCCTCACCTCCCCCCAGCCCACCCCCCAGGTATTAGATGCACCGAAGCATCTTTTAGACTCAAACGCTGTGGCTGTGAGTCCAAGTGTCCGGTGTCGCTCTGGCCCTGAAGCGCCCCCCCCCCGTACCCCCAGCAGTTTTGCCGCGGCTGCCCGCTGGCCCTGACGCTGGGCTGTGCAAGCACCTTTCCCAGGACGCATCCCATGCACTTTGCCCACATAGTCCTACACGAATATGTGTGCTCTGCACCGAACTCTGCTACACGCTCAGAAGGAGGGAACTTGGACTTGCCCAAACCTTCAGAGCACTTGCCTTGTAAAGTGCATTTCTTTCTTTTGTGGCCTGTTCATTTTGTGTCCGGGTGTTGTGGACCTGCTCCCAGGACTGACATAGCAGAGGGAGGTAGAAATGGGCTGTGCAGATGCAGGGTGTGGGCTGGCTCTGCAGCTGGGGGGCCTCTCTGAGAAGCTGACCTGCAAGCGGAGTTTGGAGAGAAGTTTTTTAAGCATTTTATCAGATCTTGGTCTTGAACACTCACAGACACCCATAGGCAGGTGAGCAAAGTCTTAACACAGGGGCTGGTGGGGTGCAGCAGGAACCTGTCCCATGAAATTAGCCGTGATGCGTCTGCCATGCAGAGAGGGACCCTGTATGTGGTTTTTGCCTTCCTCTTGCTCCCATGGAACCTTGGGGCACCCTAACTTCCCCTGGCTGGGCAGCTCCACGATGTCTGGGAGCAGTTTGGCCCTCCTGGGAGGTGCTCAGGGCCATGACTCCCAGGACTGGAAGGGTTTTGGGCAGCCCTTGCCCAGCACTTGCTTGTGGTCAGGGCTCGTGGGGCCATTGGTTTCTTGTGCGAGGCCACCTGGTCTCTTCCTGGCAGGCTGAACACCACAGTGGCCCCCCTGTTTTTCGCCGACCAGTTTCTGCAGCTGTCCACCTCCCTGCCGTCCCAGCACATCACGGGCCTCGCCGAACACCTCGGGCCCCTGATGCTCAGCACCAACTGGACCAAGGTCACTCTCTGGAACAGGGACGTCGCCCCTACGGTAAAGGGGCGGCCAGGGAGGGGTGTGCGATCGGAGGGACTTCATGGGCCAGGACGTAAAGCAGGGTGTCTGCCATGTCCCAGCCCGACGTGAACCTATATGGCTCTCACCCTTTCTACCTGGGCCTGGAGGATGGCGGTTTAGCTCACGGGGTCTTCCTGCTGAACAGCAATGCCATGGGTAAGCAAGGGGGTACTGGGGCCCTCCACATCCCCCAGCCAGTTCTGCTTCTGAGCTGCCGGCCAGGGTTTCCCTGGTGCAGCCACACCCCCTCCTTTGTAGAGGGGGCTGGGGCTCTCTGCACCTATCTGACAGGCTGGAGGTAGAGGAGGAGGCAGGGGGTCGGGTCTCGTACACTATTCCGAGAAATGACCATTGGGCTGTGGCCTCTGCCAGCTCTGTCCTTCAGTGCCTCTAAGGTGGGCTCTGGGACCTCTGACCTGGGCAGGGTGGAGCTGAGGCCAAAAAAAGGGGCCCCAGGCCCAGCTGCTCAGCGTCTTCCTGTCCTGCTCCAAGGATCTCAGCAAGCTGGGCTCAGAGTGACTGTCCCAGGGCCCCCAAGCTCCCTGTGGGAGGACCCCACCTCTCCAGCGGTGGTTTGGCCCATTGGTGCAGTGCCGAAGGCCCTGTGCAAGGGGGGTGAGTATTTGTCTCTGAGCCCCAGGGCTGCTTCCCCCAGATGTGGTCCTGCAGCCCAGCCCAGCCCTCAGCTGGAGGTCGACAGGCGGGATCCTGGATGTGTACATCTTCCTGGGCCCGGAGCCCAAGAGCGTGGTGCGGCAGTACCTGGACATCGTGGGTAGGCCTCTCCCTGGCCCTGGCCCCCGGCCCCTCCCTCCTCAACCCCTCCTGCCCGCTCACGGTCGCCTTGGCTCCCAGGCTACCCGTTCATGCCACCGTACTGGGGCCTGGGCTTCCACCTGTGCCGCTGGGGCTACTCCTCCACCGCCATCACCCGCCAGGTTGTGGAGAACATGACCAGGGCACACTTCCCTCTGGTGAGTGCCGGGGAGGGGCCTGGGGCCCCCAGGGTGGGGCGGGGGCAACGAGCCTGGGTCCTGACCACCCTGTGCTGTGGCTGCAGGACGTCCAGTGGAATGACCTGGACTACATGGATGCCAGGCGGGACTTCACTTTCAACAAGGACGGCTTTGGGGACTTCCCGGCCATGGTGCAGGAGCTCCACCAAAGTGGCCGGCGGTACATCATGATTGTTGTGAGTGCCCCCTCCCCTCTTGTGCCACAGGAAGCAGGCTCTTTTGGAAGGAGAGGGGCCCAGTGTCTGGTGGCTCCAACTTTCAGTGGCATCGTCCTCATGGTGGCCATGGTCACTGAGAATGTTTCTGAGGGTCTTTGATATCGAGGGAATATCAGGTTTATAGACTCGACTCCTGCTATCCAGTCATGTCCCTGGAGACGTCTGTCTGTGGCTCAGGATCCTTACGGCTGTAGGTTACTTGAACAGCTTAAAGCAAGGGCCGGGTGGAGCTGTGTGCCAGGGCGGCTGGAACCCCAGAAGCCCCGTGAGACTCCTGGCCCTGCCTCCCTGCAGTCAGCTTGTGGGAAGGAGGGCAGGATCTGAGTGGCTCAGCAGACAGACAACACTTCCCTGGGCCAGTCCCTGCAGCCAGAGGGGTGTGATTCAGGGTCTGATACAGCTGGGGGGCCAGAGGAGGGGAGGGGGAGCCAAGACAACCAAATGGTCGCCCCCACGGATACCCCTCAGGAGAGGAAATCCATTTGGAATTGGGCTGATGGTCATTTCCATCCCTGCAGCCCCTCTGAAGGCAGCAGCATCCAGGTCCACTCAGAGCAGGGAGCGGGGAGGGCAGACGCAGACCTTTTCTTTTTTTATTCAAAATGAAATAAACGCTCCCTGTAGAACGTTTGTGAAACTCTGGGCCCTTAAAGCAAAAGTAATGCCTGCATCCAGGTGCGCCCTTTTTGGCAATGGGGGCGGGGTCACGTGCACGTCCACGCACACGCAGCGTGTTGGCGCATCCGGGGCACATCCACCTGTGCCTCGTTAACGTTTATCGAGAGCATTTTCCCGTTTTCCCAGCGATGGGTGCCGAGGCTTTGGGCATTTCTCTCTCATTCTGACTGGTTTCTCTCCCCAGGATCCTGCCATCAGCAGCACCAGCCCTGCCGGGACCTATCGACCCTACGACGAGGGTCTGAGGCGGGGGGTCTTCATCACCAATGAGACTGGGCAGCCGCTGATTGGGCAGGTACAGCAGGGCCTGGGGGGCGAGGGGGAGAAAGCAGGGGTCCCTGGGCAGTGGGGCTGCAGGGGGGGCGGCAGTGACAGCTGGGGGTGACAGTGGCCCCTGACAAGGAAGACCACCCTGAATCCTTTTGTCAGGGGCCCTTGTTTGTGGGCAGCTCAGAAACAAGCTCCACAGATGGTTGCGGAGGCCTTGGGGTCCTCCACATCCTCTGGGCCCCCAGGGGCTTCCTGATGGTTCCCAGGCCTTCCCGGTGGGCGGGGCACCCAGTAGACTCCTGACCTTCCGGTCCAGGGCAGGCCCAGAGCCAGGAGGAAGGGGGTCGAGCCTGAGGGGGAGGCTGGCAAGGCTCCCAGCAGTGCAGATTCTGGGGCCTCTCCCCGTGCTCCTCCCCTTGCAGTCCACCCATCCCTGGGTTAGATGAGTGAGGCTACGGCTCTGCCTGCAGTCAGGACAGACAGGGGCGGGGCCCTGTCTCCCCTCTGGCCTTTCGTCCAGGTGTGGCCCGGACTCACCGCCTTCCCTGACTTCACCAACCCCGAGGCCCTTGACTGGTGGCAGGACATGGTGGCCGAGTTCCACGCCCAGGTGCCCTTTGACGGCATGTGGATCGTGAGTGTGGCCCCACCCTTGGGCGTCCGGTGGCCTCAGGGACCGGCCCCACCCTCTGCACCAGGCAGGGCACCCACCCCCAGGGCCTCTCTTGCAGGACATGAACGAGCCATCCAATTTTGTGGGGGGCTCAGTGGATGGCTGCCCCAACAGCAACCTGGAGAACCCGCCCTACGTGCCAGGTGAGCTGCCTCCACCTGCCGGCCCCCCAGCACTAGTCGGCTGGGGATTTAACGGCTCAGATCAGGGATTTCCTTCTCTGGTCTGGGAGACTCAAAGCTCTGGTTTCTGAGAAGCTGATGGGCAGCGGCCAGCCTGGGAAAGGCAAGGGGTGCCCTGGGAGTAAGGTTCATGTGGGGAGACCCCAGCCACGTGATGCTGACTGGGCATGTGCAGCTGAGGCGAGACCCTTCAGAGGGGGTGTTTCAGGCTTTGGCAGTCGGACAGGGGAAAAAAAACGGTTAGGAGCAGGCAGACATGAAGTCTGGGTGTGCAGACCACAGCCTGCGGCATCACCTTGTCCTGTCCTTGGAGAAGTGGAGACTGTACAGGGACGCACCCTGTGTCCCAAGGGGTCTCTCAAGATGTGGGGGGCACCAGCCTGCCGGGAGCAGGCTCCAAGGAAACAGCCCCCTCTCCTCCAGGGGTGGTTGGCGGGACCCTCCGGGCAGCCACCATCTGCGCCTCCAGCCACCAGTTCCTGTCCACGCACTACGACCTGCACAACCTGTACGGCCTGACCGAAGCCTTCGCCTCCCACAGGTGAGGGGCCAGGGTGCAGGAAGGAGAGGAGGAGGCCCTAGCCGTCCCTACATCCCACCCCCGCCCCCCACCCCAGCTCCATGCCTGGTGCCTCAGAGGAAGGGCATGGTGACGAGACAGGGAGGCCAGGGCTGACCAGGGCCTCTGGCTCCCTTGAGTTTGTCCTCCCGGTGACATGTGCATCTTCGAGGGTAAGTCAGGTGGCAGGGCTGACTGCCTGGCAGACAGTGGCGGTGACCTCAGCAAGCCAACTCCTTGCTCCCAGCTTGTCCTTCCTGCTGCACTGCCAGGCACTCTTGTGGGCAGTGGTGGGGCTCCTGGTGACCCTGCTCAACACAGCTCTCTGTGCCCCTGCTCCACCCAGGGCTCTGGTAAAGGCTCGGGGGACACGCCCCTTTGTGATCTCTCGCTCCACCTTTGCCGGCCACGGCCAGTACGCCGGCCACTGGACAGGGGATGTGTGGAGCAGCTGGGAGCAGCTTTCCTACTCTGTGCCAGGTGAGCACACCTGTCAGGAGGGGTGCAAGGAGGGGTGCAAGGAGGGGAGGGTGGGCCCTTCTCCGGGCGTGTTTGCCCAGAGCTGGGTCCTCAAGAGAGATGCTGCTGCAGTGGCATGGGGCCTGTCGCCAACTCATGTGCCATTGGACTCACCTGTGGTGCCCCTCTTCCAATGTCCCCATCTCAGATTCATGCTAACATCAGAATGTCCCTTCTGGTGACCACATTCTGAGCTGCATGAAATAGCATCTGAGCTCAGTCCAAAGGGTGCCCCCACCCCTCTTTTCTCAGTGCCTGGCTCCACCCTGCAAAGAAAATTTTGATTTTTGTTCCAAGAGCTCTGATGCTACAGACAGATCTTAGGCCCAGGGATGGCTCAGGAGCCCCGGGGAAGGGGATAGAGGTGACCCCAGAGGTCACAGCTGAAAAGAGCCTCCACCAAACCCCCGGCCTGGAGGTGCTTTCATAGTCGCAGGCTTGCTTCCATGTGCGATGCATCTACAGAGCCTCGGGCCACAGGGATGTCCTGCCGAGCTGAGCTCTCGGGTGAGAAGTCCATTCCTCCTTCACAAAGTGGCTGCTGGCTCTGCCCACGGGTGCCAACCGGCTCTGGTTTTCACCCTGGGGCCAGCATGGTGGGTCGAGCCTGAGCACATGCAGGCCAGTCCACCCCAGAGCCGGATTCCTGGGCTTTGTGTCCACCTGTCTAGTTCTTGGGTTTCAGTTCTGGTGTGAGCTGTTGTTACCAAGCTAAAATAAGGCTGTGCAGCTCCCAGGACCTGCTGTGACCCAGACCAGCACTGCTCACAGCCCCAGGCTGCACCCCATCCTGCCCACTGGCTTCCAGTCTGGGTCCTGGCTCCCGAGGAGACGAGGAGAGGGTAGCCCAGCAGCCTCTAGTCCTGCCCAGCGGTGGTGGGGTCGGCACGGGGCCCAGATGCTCTGGAAGCTGTCTGACCCTTCAGCAACTCAGGGGACTCACTGACCCTCTGCTGTAACGACATACCACACCCCAGGTGATTTAAAAACAACAAACTTATTCTCAGACTGGAAGTCTGATCACGGTGTCGGCAAGGCCTTGCCCTCTCTGAGACTCTAGACAGAATCCCTCCTTGCTTCTTCCAGCTCTTGGTGGTTGCCAGCAGTCCTTGGCCCTCCTTGGTTTGAGGCTGTGTCACTCTAACCTCTGCCTTTGTCATCTCTCGGTCTTTTTCCTGTGTCCTTGTCTTCACATGGTGTTTTCCCTCCTCTTTTCTTTTTTAATATAGTTCCCTGGGCTATACAGTAGGACCTTATTGTTTATCTATTTTATATATAGTGGTGTGTATCTGCTAATCCCAAGCTCCTGATTTATCCCTCCCCCACCCCCTTTCCCCTTTGGTAACCATAAATTTGTTTTCCATGTCTGTGAGTCTGTTTCTGTTTCGTAAATAAGTTCATTTGTATCATATTTTAGATTCCACATATACCTGATATCATATGGCATTTGTCTCTAACTTTACTTAGTATAATAATCTTTAGGTCCATCCATGTTGCTGCAAATGGCATTATTTTCATTGTTTCTTATGGCTGAGTAATATTCCATTGTATATATGTACCACATCTTTATCCATTCATCTGTCAATGGACATTTAGGTTGTTTCCATGTCTTGGCTATTGTGAATAGCGCTCCTATGAACATTGGGGTGCATGTATCTTTTTGAATTATAGTTTTGTCCAGATATATGCCCAGGAGTGGGTCACATGGCAACTCTATTTTTAGTTTCTTAAGGAACCTCCATACTGTTGTCCATAATGGCTGCACCATTTTACATTCCCACCAACAGTGTAGGAGGGTTCCATTTTCTCCGCAACTTCTCCAACATTTATTATTTGTAGACTTTTTAATGATAGCTATTCTGACTGGTGTGAGGTAATACCTCATTGTAGTTTTTTAAGATTTAATTGTATTTATTTTTGGCTGTGTTAGGTCTTTGTTGCTGTTCGCATGCTTTCTCTAGTGGCAAGCGGGGGCTACTCTTCATTGCAGTGCATGGGCTTCTACTTGCAGTGGCTACTCTTTTGTGGAGCATGGGCTCAAGGCACACAGGCTTCAGTAGTTGTGGCACGCAGGCTTCAGTAGTTGCGGCGCACAGGCTTAGGTGCTCCGTGGCATGTGGGATCTTCCCGGACTAGGGATCGAACCTGTGTCCCCTGAATTGGCAGGCAGATTTTTATCCACTGTGCCACCAGCGAAGTCCCTTATTGTAGTTTTGATTTTGCATTTCTCTACTAATTAGTGATGTTGAGCATCTTTTCATGTGCCTATTGGCCATCTGTATATCTTCTTTAGAGAAATGTCTTTTTAGGTCTTCTGCCCATTTTTTGACTGGGTTGTTTGTTTTTTTGATGTTGAGCTGTATGAGCTGTTTGCATATTTTAGAAATTAAGCCCTTGTCAGTCACATCATTTGCAAATATTTTCTCCCAGTCCATAGGTTGTCTTTTCATTTTGCTTATGGTTTCCTTTGCTGTCCAAAATCTTATAAGTTTAATTAGCTCCCATTTGTTTATTTTTGCTTTTATATCTATAGCCTTGGGAGACTGACCTAAGAAAACACTGCTATGATTTATGTCAGAGAATGTTTTGCCTATGTTCTCTTCTAGGAGTTTTGTGCTCTCATGTCTTATATTTAAGTCTCTAGGCCATTTTGAGCTTTTTTTTTTTTTTTTTTGCAGTACGCGGGCCTCTCACTGTTGTGGCCTCTCCTGCTGCGGAGCACAGGCTCCAGATGCGCAGGCCCAGCAGCCATGGCTCACAGGCCCAGCCACTCTGCGGCATGCGGGATCTTCCCGGACCGGGGCTTGAACCCGCGTCCCCTGCATCGGCAGGTGGACTCCCAACCACTGCGCCACCAGGGAAGCCCTTGAGCTTATTTTTGTGTGTGGTGTGAGGGAGTGTTCTAACTTCATTGATTTACATGCAGCTGTCCAGCTTTCCCAACAACACTTACTGAACAGACTGTCTTTTCTCCATTGTATACTCTTGCCTCCTTTGTTGAAGATTACTTGACCATAGGTGTGTGGGTTTGTTGCTGGGCTCTCTGTTCTGTTCCATTAATCCATGTCTGTTTTGTGCCAGTACCACACCGTTTTGATTACTGTAGCTTTGTAGTATTGTCTGAAGTCTGGGAGGGTTGTGCCTCCAGTTTTGTTCTTTTTCCTCAGGGTTGTTTTGGCAATTCTGGATCTTTTGTGGTTCCATATAAATTTTAGGATTATTTGTTCTAGTTCTTTGAAAAATGTCATGAGTAATTTGATAGGGATTGCATTAAATCTGTAGATTGCTTTGGGTAGTATGGCCGTTTTAACAATATTAATTCTTCCAATCCAAGAGCATGGGATATCTTTTCATTTCTTTGAATCATCTTCATTGTCCTTTATCAATGTTTTGTAGTTCTCAGCATATAAGTCTTTCACCTCCTTGGTCAGGTTTCTTCTGAAGTATTTTATTTTTTACCTTTTGGCTGTGCTGTGTGGCTTTGTGGGATCTTAGTTCCTCAACCAGAGACTGAACCCAGGCCCACAGCAGTGAAAGCGCCAAGTCCTAAGCACCGGATCACCAGGGAATTCCCCAAAGTATTTTTTTTTTGATGTGATTTTAAAAGGGATTGTCTTTTTACTCTCCCTTTCTGCTATTTCATTGTTAGTGTAAAGAAATAACAGATTTCTGTATGTTAACCTTGTATTCTGCTACCTTGCTTTATTTATCAATTCTAGTAGTTTTTGTGTGGAGTCTTCAGAGTCTTCTATATATATAGTATCAATGTCATCTGCATATAATTACAATTTTACATTTTCTAATTTGGATACATTTTATTTCTTTTTCTTGCCTGACTGCTGTGGCTAGGATTGCCAATACTATGTTGAATAGAAATGGTGAGAGTGGGCATCCTTGTCTTGTTCCAGATTTTAGTGGAAACGCTTTCAGCTTTTCACCATTGAGTATTATGTTGGTTTTTATTATGTTGAGATATGTTCCCTCTGTACCCATTTTGGTAAGAGTTTTTATTGTGAATGGATGTTGAATTTTATCAAATGCTTTTTCTGCATCTATTGAGATGATCATGTGGTTTTTGTCTTTTGTTGATGTGGTGTATCACATTGATTTGCATATGCTGAACCATCCTTGCGACCCTGGGACAAATCCAACTTGATCATGGTGTATTATCTTTTTTTATGTGTTGTTGGATTCAGTTTGCTTTTATTTTGTTGAGAATTTTTGTATATTAATCAAAGATTTTGGCCTGTAATTTTCTTTTTTTGGTAGTGTCTGTCTGGTTTTGGTGATGGTGGCTTCATAGAATGACTTTGTGAGTGTTCCGTCCTTTTCAGTCTTTTGGAAGAGTTTGAGAAGGATCAGTATTAGTTCTTCTTTGTATGTTTGGTAGAATTCACCAGTGAAGCCTTGGGCTTTTGTTTGCAGGGAGTTTTTTTAAATTACAGATTCTATATCACTTCTAGTGATTGGTCTGTTCAAATTATCTATTTCTTCTTGATTCAGTTTTGGTGGGCTGGATGTATCTAGAAACTTGTCCATTTCTTCTAGGTTGTTCAGTTTGTTGGCATATAATAGTTCATAGTATTCTCTTATGGTTTTTTATATTTCTGTGGTATCAGTTGTTATTTCTCCTCTTTCATTTCTTATTTTGTTAACTTGGGTCCTCTCTTTTCTTCTTGGTGAGCCTGGCCAGAGGGTTGTCAATTTTGTTTACCCTTTCAAAGAACCAGCTCTTGGTTTTATTGATTTTTTTTCTATTTTTTTAAAATCTCTATTTTATTTGTTTCCTCTATGATCTTTATTATTTCCTTCCTTCTGCTAACTTTAGGTTTTGTTTGTTCTTCTTTTTCTAATTCTTTTAGGTGGTAGGTTAGGTTGTTTGAGATTTTTCTTGTTTTTTTTTTTTTTTTTTGAGGAAGGCCTGTATTATCATGAACTTCGCCATAAGGACTGCTTTTGCCGAATCCCACAGATTTTGTTTGGCTGTATTTCCATTATCATTTGTTTCAAAGTATTTTTAAATTTTCTCTTTGATTTTCATCATTGACCCATTGGGATTTTTTTGTTGTTAGTTTCTGCTTTATAACAAAGTGAATCAGTTATA